GGGATCTCAGAAGCTGTGGCCAACAGTTCAGAAGACTGGCCTGAACGCGACGCAGAGCCAGGTGGCTTGTGAGACTGCGATGTCCACCCACAGCATGCTGAGCTACAAAGGCCGCGCGCCCAATCAGGGCTTGCTGGGCTATCAGCCCAGAGAGCTGTGCGAACCCGAGGTCAAGACGCTCTCTGCCGCTGCCGGGGCGCTCGAGACAGCTCCAGACGCCCTCGAGGAGGCCATCCGCCTGCGCATGATGGCCAAGGAGGCGATCCTGCAGAGCATCGTCGAGGATCGCATGGCCGCGGCGCAGAACGCCAAGATGCAAAAGTTCAAACCCGAGGGCCGCGCGAATATCACAGACGGCGCGAAGGCAGACCTGGCGCGAGCCAGACTCCGTGGACGATCCATGTTGGCGTGGACCATGCGAGGTCGTGAAGGTCTACCCGGACGGCGCAAATGCAGTGGTCGACAGGGGAGGCCACGTCATGTTGGTGCCCATGAGGCACCTGCGCCCACGCGTGGGCTTCGCGTGGCTCCTTCACCAGAAACATCACGGCGGCCAGGTTCACGCCTCGCAGCACGTGTTCAACGACGCAGTCAAGCAGATGATGGAGATAGTAGAGACAGGAGCGGCCTTCTCGTTCACACGCACGGCCTGATGTACTCGAGTGGCGATCGGAGCTATGTCATGGTGCCGCCCGACCTAGAGCAGAATATTCCACCGTTGTTGACGGTGGCTCAGAAGGGTTTCACTGGGGTCCTCAACGGCACCAAGTTCGACGGCATCCTGTTCGGCAGCAAGTGCAAGAGGACGGATGCCATCTCGGCGGCGCACCGCGGACAGCTCACCACCTGGAACAACAGCCGACGCGAGAGCTACTTGATCCGCGATGTCATGCCGGACAAGTCTCTTCCACCCTGGTTTTCAGGACCCTGGAAGGATGAGAGTTTTTTGTTCTATATTAGCATTACTCTAGTTACAGTGAGCCAAACGACGAGATCGAGGATACGCCAGAAGTTGACCTCAGTGGAGTTGGTGGTCCATTTCCCATTCCATGGATAGCATCGCCATGCACGTTGTTTGGAGGTTCCTGGCTGGAAACAGGCGAAGATGAGGACGACCATCGTCGGCAGCGAGGCCCCGTAGACCCTCCAAGGCCAGGTTCAGCCGCCTCAGCCGACGCAGCCGCCCCAGCAGTGTCAGCCACCAGTGAAGGCGCCGCCTGCTGCGCGGCAGGCTCCATCTGAACCAGCGCAGCCAGCTCCAGCACCGAAGCAGAGACCACGGCCTGTGGCGCAGCCATGCGTGCCCATGACGCCTCCTGCGAGGCGCAGGCCACTCTCACCAGAAGTGTCGTTCGACGTCTCGCCCGAGGTGCAGGCGTCATGCGGCCTCCGTCGCTGCCGCCAGGAGAAGGAGCAGCGGCGGGGTTCGCGCCGGCAGCTCCTGAGCCGCCTGCAGCGCCTGCCAGTCCAGGCGCGATCGATCCCGACGACCAAGCAGACGCCGGCATCGTCGAGCTGTCGGAATCCTCAAGCAGTTCACCAGCGACGGCAGATCGGTCAAGATCGAGAGTTTTTGAGCGGGCTCGTCCAGCTGAAGCAGCCACAGGGCGCGTGACATTGCCGGGCGAGATCGCGGCCGTCCCGCCGACGCCAGTGCGAGCAGCTACGCCGTCTCCAGCGGCGAAGGCCTCAGTACCATCCTCGCCAGGCACTCGGCAGGGCACGCTGGACTACGGAAACGCGCGCGAGCACGCGCTCGACACCGGACAGACGGAGACACCGATGCTGAAACCTCTGCCGGAGATACCTCTACCAGGAGCAAGTCACGAAGGACCATCGCCAATTGCGTCAGAGTTAGGTCGGTCTCGCACGAGAGACTACGGACCTGCTCCAGATCCACGAGACCAGCACGATGAGCACGACCGACAAGTTCGACAATATTCACAAAAGCACCGACCAGCAGCATCACCGATTGCAGCCATGACGCAGTCTCAGAGGAGAGATGCGCCAGCTAGTCCGCTCGACGATCGAGTGGCGCCAGGAGCTCGCGCATCAGCAGCATCGGCATCATCGGGGGCGCCAGCTCCAGCTGAGCCAGTCCTGTCCATCGCTGAGCCCGCCGACGTCGACAAGACCATCGACTACGGCCCGGCAACGAGCGAAAAGGTTGACGAGGACAAGCAGGAGAAGCTCGAGATGCACAGCTACCAGGTGTGGTTCGATGTGCATCATGCTGAACATCGGCTGGGATGCCCTCCTGCGAAATGCGGCACCAGTCGGGGTCAAACCTCACTGCGACGGGGAGCATCTCACACATGCTATAGCCGACGCTGAGCAGATCCTGCACTTCAGTCAGCAGGCTGGACGAGGCGAGCTACCCTGGACAGCATCGGAAGCATTTGCAGGACTGGAAGGGCCGATGACCAGGCCTATGTGCTTCTACTACGACGCTCGCGAGGACCAGTGTTTCTCAGTCTCGTCTGATGACCTCCTCACGCCGCAAGAAGTGACCGACAATTGGAATGTCGTGGAGATATGCGACTACGTGGAGGCCGTATCGATCTGCAGCCACGATGTCTTCGAGATCGACTTGTCGTCGAATGCCACGAACGTCGTGGACGGCATCTGGGTTCGGAAGTGGAAGAACCGCCAGAAGCGAATCGTCAAGTCGAGATGCTGCGGTCGCGGTTTCTTAGATCGCCAGAAGACGTCATTCAGCCGCCAATCGTCGACAGCTTCACGGCTGAGCCACATGCTACTGCGCTCACTGGCCATGGTGTTCGAGTTGGCCCTAGAGAGCTTCGACACCTCAACAGCTTTTCTTCGAGGCTTGAAGTTGTCAGAGGTCGCGGCCACGGCGAAGGAGCTGGGTCAGGAGGTCAAGGATGCACGCCAAGTCTGGTTTCGCCCGCGGGCGAACATCTGGAGGCACTGGAGGAACACCCCGAAAAGCACGATCGTAGTATTGGACGGAGATATTCCACACTTCATTCTGAAGTGCCTCAAAGCGCTCTATGGCCTGGTGGGCGCTTCTCTGCTATGGCAGCTGGCGTTGGTCCACTATCTGAAGTTGGTCATCGGCTACAGGATGAGCACCCATGACGAGTGGTTTCTGATCATCATCAACGGCTGGCTGGTTAACTCGCTACGCATCACTCACGTGAACCATCTTCTGCTAGCAGCTACGAAGGAGTTCCTCGATCACATCGCCAAGAAGCTCGGACAGGAGTTCGGGAACCCGAAGAGGACAGGCCTTCCGTTCACCTACCTGGGCATGAAGCACGAGATGCTCTCGCCACGGCACCTGCTGGTTCACCGGCAGCACTGCCTCGAGAAGCTGCCGGAGGCCAAGTTCACGAACGCGTGCAACATCAAGAAGGACTTCCAAGAGCTGGTCGAGTACGAGCACCACCAGTTCAGGTCGCTGGTATGCAACCTACTCTGGTTATACCTCACGAGAGTGGACGTAGCACACGACGTGGTTTCTCTGCAGTCGGAGATAGTGTGTCAGGTGCAACATCTGAAGACAGCCAATCGCGTGCTCGCCAAGGCACGCAAGACGAAGGACATGAACGGCCTGCTCTACCATCGAGTGCAGCTTCCAATGAGGCCCTGCAGCATCCACGACTGCGGGCACGCGAGCAAGAAGAGCTGCTACCCCTCAACGAGGGCAACTCTGTCATGATGACGCACGGCGACCTCAAGATCGACGTGCCCGAGTGGATCACAGGCCAGGACTTGTCCAAGGTCGGAGGCTCTGCGCACACGCTGTTTTTCAGTGCTCGCAAAGCTTCACGGTTCTCGCATTCAATTTCGCACGCAGAGACGCTCTCAGCCATCGGTCGCACGCAGATGGGTCAGTTGATCGCAGCACGGCTCACCGAGTTGTTCTGTCAGATGGTGCTACCTCCAAGATCAAAGATTACTGCACGTAGCATGCTGAAGCTGAATCAGAAGGACACACGGGTCATACCGCACGGTGCAGTGACAGATTGCATGGACCTCTTAGAGTTGATCACGGGCGGCCGTGGCATACCGTCCGAAGAAGGTTGCTTCGATCAGCTCCTGCTCTATTGCGCCACAGGCAAATGGAAGGCCACCCTCATCGGGGGCCAGACGGTGCGTCACAAACGAGCAGTCGAAACACCCGGACGCTACTGAAAATGAGATCGGAAATCGTCAAGGGTACCTAGAATACGACGTCTATTGCGACCTGCGTTGGCAGTCGTGGAAGACCACCCGCGCGAAACATACATGTACTGAGGAATGTGATGAGGAAAAATGAGCGTTTGCTTGTGCGTTTGCTGCTCTTCGCTCGTCCGCCTCCTCGATAAAGCTCGAAAGCACAGCAGTTCCACAGTAGCCGAGCAAACCAGCCTGATGTTAGAAAAGCATTGCTGCATGTCTTACAGGAGCTAACTAGATAGAGCTAAGCTGTATATGTATAGCAGCTGTGGATCGCTCCGCGCTCCGCTATGTTTGGTTTCCTACGGTTCTGTAAAGGACAGACATCGGAGTTAGATTGTGTAGGAGTTCGGGGTAAGAGGCTTCAGAACCATCAAAGGTATGTTCAGGATGTGTTTGGATGTTGATTCGGCTACCCGTAACAAGTATGCCTCAAGCCATCTGGTTCGAAAGCTAACGCTGGACAGCTAACTGCTGATGGGATCGGGCCCTAATCGGGCTGTCCCGCCCGGAAGAAGGTCCCCCCCCCTGTGGGTGTGGAAGGTTTGCTGTGGAACCCTCGTGGGGCTCTATTCTTTGGAGCTCGTGCCGCGTGCGCTGAGCCCTCGTCGTCGTCATCGTCGTCGTCGGTCCTGCCCTCCCCCTTCCCATCTGGGGCGGGGGCCCGCGGGTCCCACCCGTCTGGGGGGAGGTGGCCCGCAGGCCCAGAGCCCGGGAACAGACCCTGGAGGGATCCTGGAGGGCACGCGCCCCAATCCCGGGCCCAGGACGAGCCTGGCCAGGGTCGCCTGGGTGCCATCCGACAGGAGCGGGAGGAGATCATGTCCAAGCGGGTCCGCGCCAAGGAGAACCTGATCCGCCTGCAGGATCAGATGGCGCAGGCGGAGGAGCGGAAGAGGATCCAGCGCAAGGCGGACATCGAGGCTGCTTCTGCTCACGAGTTCCCCATCATGCAGGGCCAGGCAAGAGAGGAGAGCAAGAAGGAGATCACGAGCGGCATGCAACAGCGCCTGAAGGCGGACCTTGATGCGCAGGTCAGGACAAACAACACCCTGAAAAACCTTGCCAAACAGAGGGAGCGTGCGATCGAGATCGACCATCTTCAGAATTTGCGCTCGGAGATGTCGAACCTGCGCAATGCGGAGAGGGCGAAGAAGACGTACGAGATAGAAGCGATGCGCTCCGCGTGGAACTCGGACATCCGCCTGCACAACATCTCCAAGGCCATCGACAACCACGCCAAGGCCAAGGGCAACCCCGTCGCCGCGATGCGGGCAGCCACGCCGATGTGGAACTCTCAGGAGGCCCAGGCCCAGGCCTCCGTGGAGGACGCGCTGCCGTACGGACGAGGCGGTACTCCCATGGGCTCGGCCGGCCGCCTGATGACGGGCTCCGTGCGCCGGGTGCCCATGGGTGCGTCGAACTCGCTAGGGCAGCTCGAGCGCATGACCACCGCTGGCAGCCAGCGCTACTGAGCGGCGCGGGGTCGGAGCAAGCACTCGGCGGGCACGGGGCATGCTGCAATGGAGCGCCCCGCCGTGGGAGGCGCCCCTCCCAGAGACCACTGCCAATCTCGGCTGCCGCCCGTCGAAGCGAGGGCGCGTGTAGCTTCGGGCCTTCCCGGGAAGGGCGTCGGCCACAGCGGAGCGCCTGTTTGCTGTTGAGCGTCTTCCGAACCACCTCGCATCGTAGCAGCCCTGGCTCTCCTCCTCTCTGCCCAGTGAGTGTCTCAACTCTCCGCCTCGGCCGTCTCCTCCTCATGCAGAGCCCTGACCTGGGCGAACGGCCTGGTCCTCCATCTTGTCGTCATCATCTTCCTCGCCCTCTCTCGCTGCCCGCTAGCACTTTCGTTATTCTTGCGATCGTCAAATCTGCAGATGCCTTCGGCCTATCCCGCCTCCGTTCCAGGCTGCTCTCCGATCTGTCTCGAGCAGGCGGCTGGGTACAGCAGCCCCGGCGCCGCCCACGCAGGATGCGCCGGCACGTCGTATCTGGCGCGGCTGAGCCGCACGGTCGCATGGTTGACGGCTGTACCTGTGGGGGCGTGGAGGGGGCCTGCTGGGAGTCCTTGGGGCCGTCTTGGGCGCGACGGTTCTGCGGAGCCCAGGGGGAGCGGCGCAGAGCGACACCAAGGGATTCGCGATCTGACGCACCGCTCTCGTCGAGGGGGTGGGGAGGTCCCTCTCTGGGCCTGCCGGTCGTGACCTGCCGATTCGGCGGTGACCCCAGCGCAGAGCAGGCCAACATGGAACGACCTGGCGATCGAACGGCCGCCGATCGTTCAAGGAGGGACGATCCGCGCAGTGCCGAACCATCGCCGGGGTCCTCATTCGAACAAGAAGGCGCTGCATAAACATAAATGCATGGCGGTCCGCGCGGATTTCTTCGATCGGCGCCGTATTCCCTCCCCGGCGCGCTGGGGCGCAGGTCCAAGAAAGATCCGCGCGGAGCTCCAACAATTTCTGTTCATGCTGCTTTTCCTGCCCCCACTCACGACATGGACCTGCCGTTCGGAGAGTAGCCGTCGTCGTCATCTCGGGCGGGGGCGCTAGGAGCTAGGACGAGGATAGATCTGTTCCAGCGCGCTCGGGAACGCTCTCAGAGCTTTCCGGAACGCTCTGAGAAGGCCGCGGCAAGCGAGGCATCCTCCACGATTCACCCCACCCCGAATTGGTCCTCGTCTTGGCTTCGTCTTGTCATGGTCGTCGTCGTCGTCGTCGTCGTCGTCGTCGTCGTCGTCGTCGTCGACCTGCCGCCTGGAGACTCGAGCGAGCAGCCAGTCGAGCGGTGCGCACTGGCGGCGGCAGCAGCCGCGCAGTGCGTGCCGCGCGGGCTGCCCGCTCGTTGGGCCAACGCGGAAGGTCGCCGTCCCTCGTCTAGCACGGCCAAGCCGCTGAATCGGAGGTGGACAGACCTCCCACCCTGACACGTCGACTAAGGAATTGGCCGTTTTCGGTTCGCGAGAGGGCGTCGCGGCCGTCATTTTTGCGGGTCCAGGTCCGTCGGTTTCGGTCCCAGGTCGTTTTAATGAAGGGGAGATTTGCTAAAGGGAGGTTTCTCCACCGGGGCCACCCGATGCGGGCAGGACTTCTGTCATTGGTCACTGCAGCGTGGAGTTTCGGGCTTCCTTCCCCAGAATGCCGAGGCGCACTGGCTGCGGACAGGAATCTGTCCACTAGAGGCTCGATGTTTATGCGTATCCAGTGCGCGTCGGCATTGTGGCGCCACCTCCAAGAACGTCAAAGACCCACTGGATATGGGTACACATCTTGCCCGGGCTCGGGAGGCGCTCGTTGTTCCTTGGGTTCTTCCATGGTCGTTCCTCTAGCGCTCCTCGTGCACCCAGGCTTTGTTGGAGCCGCGAAGGGGGCTTCGTTCCTTATGTAGCGTTCCCTGTTTCAGCGGCCCGACAGTACAGCAGGTTTGTGTCATGTCGACGCGGGGGCGACCCCGCCGCGGGCGTTCAAGGCTGAACGCCGTATGCGGCCCAGAGTCGGCTAGAATAGAACGATCTGGCGATCGGAAAGTCGCCGATCGTGCATGGTTGAACGACGCACCCGCGGTTTCCAGCGCCAGGCACGACACGATACGAACCTGCCGTATGTAGGCATTCTCTTTCTTTCCAGAATTCTGGCGAAATTACTCGTTTCAGTCTGGGCGTTTCTCCGAGGTGTTTGGCCCCTGGGGGGCCGTCCTTGAGCCCGAGGGCTCGGCATTGGGCCTGGATGCCAAACTGCCCCTAGAGGGGCCTGCTTCTTCAGCCCAGTGGCCATTCAGAGTTGCTCCGGCACGGAACCGCGAACAGGGCAGGGGTCGGGACCCTGTGCGCGTTGAAGAAAAAAGCGCATCGTCAGGAGTTCTCTGGGTTCGTCGCCCAGCAGACAGCGGGCACCTCGACACGGTCGCACCGCGCCGTGGGTGCGGCGGCGGATCGGTGCCCCTCCCCGCGCATCAAGGCGCCGGGAGGCCCGCTGGGGCTCGGCTTTTGTAGCCGGGCGCCTGGTTCGCAGAGGACTGGCAGGTGTTTGCGACCCCGAGGGCGGTGGCGTCCATGACCACAAACAACGTGCAGGGTGCCGCCCTTCCCCCCCACATCCGCTGCCCTAGCATGTACTTCGCCGAGGCGTCCGACGTTGTTTTGATATACGCGGCCCCAGGGCTCCCGAGCCTTGCCGTGGGCGTGGCTTTGCGTTCCGGATCCGTTCTTCGGTGGCCCGGGGCTCATGGGCGGGCCCCAGAGGCCGAAAGATTGCAGCTCCGTCTTCCTCGTTCTCTCCATGCTCCTTCATTCCCCCTGTGTCATTCTCCCCCTCCTCATCTCTCCTCCTCCCTCATCTTCCTCCCGCCTCGCTCCCCTTCCCTAGTCATCTCGTCCCCCTGCTCCCTCCTGCCTCCTCCCGCTTCTCTCCCGACCTCTTCTTCGTCCCTCCTCCCTCGTCCTCCTCCCTCCTCCGTTTTCGCATTTGGCGTCCGTGCCAACTGCTCCTCTCGCCTCCCTGCCCTTGTGCTGCTTCCTCCTCCCCCCGTCGTGCTCCCCTCTGCTCTCTGCGCCTCCCCCCCCCCCACCCCGTCTGGAGGAGGAGGGGGAAAGGGATTGCGGTCAGGGTGCGGAGTGGGAAGATAAGAAAGAAGAATGGAGCGGGTGGAGAGGGTGCAGACGGGAGGAGGAGGAGGAGGAGGAGGAGGAGGAGGAGGAGGAGGAGGAGGAGGAGGAGGAGAGGGAATGGGTTTAGGATGCCAGTAGATGGATAGCGCCCTGGGATGCGATGCCTCTTCTTCTCCTCCTCGCTCCCCCTGCTTCCAGGCCGCCCGGCCCGTTGCTTTTGAGGATCAAAGGACTATTGTAACATGTAACTTGCGCCAGGAGTTGCGAGTCCGATGTTCCCCCCTCTTGTCTCCTCCCTATATCTCTCCTTCCTCCTCATCCTCCTCCCTCCCACTCCCCCGCTCAACAGTATCCTCCTTCACATGTCGATGGCCGGGGACTAACCGGCCTCTGCATGACTCGTTTCCTTACCCTGGAACTGTAGTGCCTCTGCAAGCGCACTGCCAATGACGGGGACACGAGCCTTCCTCAAGCGCACCCCGAAGTGCTTCATGCTCTAAGGGCACTCCGGCCGTCTGCGGCCCTCTCCTGATGGGCCCATTTTCCACCACCACTACAATATGTAGGAGGAGGAGGAGGAGGAGGAGGAGGGGGAGGAGGAGGGGGAGGAGGAGGGGGAGGAGGAGGGGGGGAGGAGGAGGAAGAGGAGGAGGAGGAGGAGGAGGAAGAGGAGGAGGACCTCCTCACTCTCCCTTCTCCCCCGTCCTACATCTGGCATTGGTGGTGGAACAATTGCCCATCATCTCCCCCGTCCCTCCCGCCGTTCCTTTTGCAGTTGTGCCCAAAGTCCGCTCAACAGCGGCCCTGCCGTAGCTCGACCGTACCTCGGCTCCGAGGCGCCCCACATGGACGAGTCTATGGCCAGGGCGTCGCTCCCGATCCGCATCGGTGTCCACACCCACGACGCACGGGTCGTTTCCGCATGGCGGCGGCGGCGAGGAACGTCAGTGAGGATGCCCAGCTTGCGCCCCCGAGGACCGAGGCTCGTTTTGGCCAGGGCTTTCGCTGCGGATCCAGCCGTAGCGACGTGGATATCTCTAGAAATCTGGGATAGCGCAGAAACATACAGAAACTTGTTTCACGAAGGTCCGGTCACGCGCAGAGGGTGGTCGGGGGAGTGGGGGAGGCTACTTAGAAGTGTCCCTGCCTCTTAGAAGGCGCGGGCCTGGTTTGTAAATGAAGGGCCGGAGCCTTTTAAGAGGCAGCCTGCTTCTAAGAAGCAGTTCCCCCCCTAACCCCATGTGCGCGCCGCCAAAGGGTGAAGCAAGCGTGCGTCTGGCAGCACGTCCGTCGCTTTTTGGGGGTCGAGAGCTGGGCCGCTTGTCCCGCCAGTCCGCGCCCCTTTTCACCTCTCGCCGTGGCGCCGCTGCGCCTCCTTTCCTAGCTGTCCGCCGCTCTGGCCTCGCGCATTCGTTGCCCAGCAACTGCAAGAAGAGAAGGTTGATGCGTGGGAGCTTAGGTGAACAAACAATGACATACACAGTATAACTCGGAGGTCCGCACCGCTCCGAGGAATCTGCGCAGACTCCTGAGTCTTTACGTTTATGTCATTGTTTGTTTCCCTGTGAGAGGCTCGTTGCCCAGCCACTGCAAGAAGAGACGGTTGTTGCTTGGGAGCTAGCCCCCACTGTTCTCTGTGAGGTAAGGTTTTTCGACCAGGAGCGTAGGCTTCGCGTGTTGTTCTGCCTGCTCTGACCCACCACGCTTCGGCGCGCACGCCCTCCCCGTCCCCTTTTCCAATGGTCAACGTCTCGAGCTGCTCACAGCCTCCCGCTACGCGGGACTGAGCGACACGCTCTCCGCTCGCAAGAACAAGCGTGTCGTCGGGGCCGCCGCCGCGACACGCGAAGCAATCATTCCTTTACTCCTTCCTAAGGTTGATGGTTGCGCACAGGACGGGGTCTTCGCTGCCTTATTCCGCCCCCGCTCGGCGCAGTCAAGACGCTGGAACAAGGACCTTGCCAGGTTTTCGAATGGGCCAGCTGTTCCTCAGGTTTTTCCTTAGTTGCTCCAGCGCTCCTCGCGCTTAGATGATGTTTAACAAACGTTTGGGACGTTTTTTTATGTTCGTTTTCCGCGTGCAGTTCCGGGCAGAACAACACGGGGGGAACACAACAATAACAACGGCAGACCAAATCAGCACAACAAACGGAACTACAAAACATATTGGGACCGAAAACAGCGCGAACGATACTCCCCAACCAAAAAACAGCACGGATGTCAGTCAGCGCGGGATCCTAAACATTGTTTTCTAGCATCTTACGTGTTGCAAGATCTGTGGTGCCAGTTATGTGGTGCCATTCATGTCGTGGAGTATAGGTGGAACCGTTCCCGCGTCGCGCTTGCTGCCGCAGGGCCGCCCCCGCGCGGCTCGCCGTGGGCCTCCAATGTCGGCTGCGATCGATCTCCGCGCTGCGCTGTCAGCGGCCTGCAGGGCTGCGCTGAAGACGCACGCTGCAGCGGGCTTGGCTCGGGGCTCGGCAGCAGCTCGGCTGCTGAAGGCCGCGGAGGACCTTTGCCGCACGGCGACGGCGGTGCTTGAGGCCGAGGCGCAGCCTCGGAAGCCCGCCCGCGCCGGGGGGCCGAGCAGCGGAGCCGCCTGATGTTCCGCGGAGGCCGCGCCGCCCGGTCCCTGCTTCGGCGGCGACGGCGGCGGCGGGCTCGTGAGCCCCGAGGCGCTGGCATGCAGGTGGGAGCCCGGGGTGTTCGCCTGCGGAAGCGACGGCAGCGGCAGCGACCGGGAAGACCACGGCTGGGCAGACGGGGCGGTCGCCGGGCTCCGCTCCTGGAGGCCTGGCGCGCCGTGCGCCCTCGGCCGCTGCGCCTCATGTTCCGCCCTCGTCGGCTGGGCTGCCGGCGCGCTCCCACGCCGCGAGTCTTCTCGAGCCTCGCTCGGTGGGTTTGGGGGGGAGCGCTGCGAAGGCGGCGCGCTCGAAGCAGGTGGCCACCCATATGCTGGGGCGCAGCCGCGACCTGCGCGACGTCGCAGACGTCGTCAGACGCGGGGCGGGGGCGTCAGCGAGGACCAGGGCTTGACGCTCTTCCTCGGCATCCCCGATGTTGCGCACGTGTGCTTGGCCATGGAGACCGGCACAATGCGGCGTGCTCGTCGTGACGGGCCCGCGTGGGCCGTCTCCTCCTCCGGTCAGAGGTCCCTTGGGGTCCTTTGGAGTTCCTTGCGGGGTTTGGGGGGCCTGGGCCTCCACAGTGATGCAGGCCAGGCTGTCGGCTTGGACCGTCCGCCGAGGGGTATTCGACCCATTGCGCGTGGTAAGTTGGAAACAAAGAGGCGGTGTAATCTATGTGGCGCTAGTTTTGGGGTACCATCAGGTTGCGCAGCCCATGTGGTGCAATCCGCGCGGCGCACGGGCAGCGCAACGCAATCTAGAGCAACGGGCTGCGACGAGGCGGCGACGTGGCGGCGACGGCGATAACAAGGCGGACCCGACATTGGAGCCCCCACGGGCGGCGACGAGGCGGCGTCGCAGCGGCGACGGCATCCGCGAGGCGGCGGACCCGACGCGCAGGCCCATGCGACGGGCGGCGACGAGGCGGCGACGGGGCGGCGACGGCGACCGCGTAGCCACCAGACCGGCGCGCAGGTCCAGACGAAGGGCGGCGACGAGGCGGCGACGGGGCTGCGAGTGCGACCACATAGCTGCCTTACCCTCGCGCAGGCCCAGTTCCTTGGACCAGACGCACGACACCCGAAGTACAAACGCTGTTTTGGGAATGCGCGCCGACTTTGAATACGAGAAAACAACGCCCCCCGGCGTTAGCGTCATCGAGTTCCCCGCGTGCGATTGGCGAGCATGTGCCAGACCTGGTTTCCGTTCCGGCGCTAGCGTTCCCTACAGTAGTCGTACGGCCATGTAGCGTTCTTTTGTCCCAGACATGCAGTGGTGAAATGCGCGGCCGAAGGGTCGCGACCCCTTCCCCAGGGGTGGTTGTTCGCACCGGATCCGCACTGATGGTCCTGGGGCCACCTGGCCGGACCCGGCGGCCGAATGTAAGCCCCCCCGGTTGACAGCCAAAAACAACATGTCGGAGATTTGGGGCCTGCGTTCCTGAGGTAGCGTTCCTTGGGGCGCGAAGCGCCGCCGAAGGCGGCCCGTGAGCCCTGAGACTTTCCTGGGCCGTTGTTCGCGGGTCTGTTGGCAGCCTTACGGCCCGTCGCGTCCAATATTTGGCATTCTGGGGTGCCCAAAAACACCACCACGGCCTTCGAGTTTAGATTGTTGTCGAGACTTTAGCGTCTCGAAAGTTACGCTTGCACTCTGGAAAGTTTGGGATCCCGCGCCTTGCCGCCCCCTTCTCTGGGCCGCGCGTACATGAGTGACCCTTTTCCAGAGTGATCGTCGGCGCCGGCACCTCGCAGTGGCCCTCGCAGCATGTGGCCAGCGCGCTCGGATCTGCCACCCCCCCCCCCCCGTGTGACGCCCCCACAGCTCAGAGGATGACGATCTACCGATACCGCTAATTGCCCTTCTTTCGTCGCCACGGCTGGATCCGCTTCGATTTCGTGGGCGAGCGCGCCCCAGAGGAGGTTCGCGGAGCGGCCGCAGGGACAGCCGCGCACCAGAGGTCATTCTTTGCTTTGGGGCGCTCCTGCGAGCAGCTGATGCCCCCCCCCCCCTCTCCCCTCCGACTCTCCCACGGCGGCGGCGCCGAATTCCCCCAGCCGCCCTCCGCAGAGGAGAGGTGGTGCCGCCCGAGTGGCTGGCCGTCGACTGGGGGGGGCGAGCCGCCCGCATCAACTGCGGCGCGCGCGCGCCCCCGGCCGCGCCGCGCCCGCGCGCCCACTCGCAGAGGAACTGTTCGCAAATGGCCGGGATCCGCCGAAGGGGGACTTGCGATCCGTTCCATCAAGGCAGACGTTTGTTTTTAGGGCCGGTTGCGAGGAGGCACTTTGCGAGCAGTGGGGGGACAATACGGTAGGCTCGTTTCGTGTCCAGGCGGCTGCGGCCCCCCGGCGCGCGCGGGCGTTCGTGCTTGAACGCCGCCAGAGTTTTAGAATCGGCCAGCACGGGATGATCTGGCGATCAGGAGTCGCCGACTCTTCAAGGTCGAACCGTCCGCGCGGTTTTAGAAACCAAAGCCTGGGCCGCCACGACGCGAAATTGTCGCAGGGGGCGACTGACTCGGTGAAAGGGGGGGGTGTCGACGTAGAGTCGGTGATGCATCGCCTTCAGCGAAGCCGCGCGTTCCTCGGCGGGTCGGGCAATCCGGTTCCTGCCTGCGATGACTGGGCGACTGGGGGTCGATGCGTTTCCTCTTGAGCCTATCCCGCAACTTGACTTTGCCTCTGGCACGGGGCTACTGTGGTGCGTCCCCGCCGCCGTCGTCGTCGTCGTCGTCGTCGTCGTCGTCGTCGTCGTCGTCGTGGTTATCGTCGTCGTCGTCGTCTTCGGCGTCGTCGTCGTCGTCGTCGTCCAACTCCCGATCTGGTGATCCAGGGGCCTGGCTATATTGGACCATAAGTTCGGGAGGGGGGGTCCTGGCTGGGGGTGGGGGTGGGCTTTGCTGTCCTCAGGGATGGAGGATCGACCATCGAGCTCTTCAACTTTCCGTCGGGGGCACTCCCGGGGTTCTCTGGTGGCGCCCTCGTCGCCGGCGGGGTCGGATCCTCTTTTCGTAACCTGGCCAGGACCATCCTCCCCCTCCCCTGGGGAGTTGTGGGGGCTGTCGTCGCGGGTGGGAAGGAGGGGATCCTCCCTGAGCAACATCAGTATGATACCCTTCTTGGACGCCGTGCCTACATTGACTCACCCCCTCCACCTCTCCAGTTTCCTAACCCCAGAGGGGGGATGAGGGAGGAGGAGGAGGAGGAGGAGGACGACGAGGAGGTTCCTCTTGCTCCTCGAGCTGCTGCGATTCCAGATGCTGCCTGTGCGACTAACCCTGCTATTATTGATGTTGTAGCCGCTGTGCCTCGTGCTGCTGCTGCTGCTGCTGCTGCTGCTGCTCCTGCGGCTGCTGATCCTCTTGCTGTTCCTCCGGCTCTCCTGCTGCTCCCGCTCCTGCCGCGGTCTCGGCTACTGCTCCGTCGCCTGTTCATGCTCCTGCTGCCGCTGTTCCTCCTTGGCGCCGCTCTCCGAAGTAGTAACGTCAGTGAGCGTGCTGCTCCGGTTCTTGCGGTTGCAGTTGTGGTTCTGCCGTTCGTGTTGTTGCTCGCCGTCCATCCTCCTATTACTCTCCCCCCCTTTCGCCTGTTCCATCCACCTCGTCCTACCTCGTCCCTCATCGTCTTCCAATCTCTTTCGCGCAGCAGGAGTCAGCATGATGCCTTTTGCCGTTGGCGTTTTCGTATCGCACATCCTCGTCCACCTCGTGATGTTGCTGGTGTGCTGCTGCTTCTACTGATCTAGCTACCTCCCATCCCTCCCCCCCTGTCATTATCAGTCTTCCCTGCCCCTCATCCGCTCCTTCTCCCTCCTCGTGGTTATCATCCACCGCTTCCCTCGGCATGAATCAAGCCTTTAGTAGTGTGGCACACGGCGGGACGCCAAACAACCGAAACTCAAGTATTGTTAGATGCAGCGCAAGTGCTTGAAACCCAATGAAACACTCTGCTGAGCGCCGCGTGTGATTATCTCAGGACTGAGCCAGGGGTTTCGCGTGTGGGCGGGTTGGGAAGCTTTGAGTTGGGGATGTTCAAAGTGCTAGCGACAACACGGATAAAACAATGTATTGTTTGCATTGCAGCCGATGTTTGCGTCCATCGCTTGGCGCTTTCTATTGCTTGGCGTGTTCTTTGGATTACGCTGTGTCGGGTGCTAGGGTCAGGGATGTGTGGTGGTGTGTTGAAAGTGCCAACGACCACGAGCAGGAATAATGTTTCCTGCGTTGTAGCCTGTGTCTTGTGGAGCATGTGTTTGCGTTGCTTTCGAGTGCTTCGGCTTGAGCGTCGGGTTCCGCGAATGAGGCTGGAGCGGCTTGGCCGAACCTCTCGGTCTGCTGTTGCTGTTTGTGCCGACGGTGGCGGCAGCGCTGGGGGGGCCGGGGCGTGCCGACGATCCTCTTCTCGACCTCCCTCCAGGGGCTCTTTCCCCCCCCCCCCTGGCGGCTGCAGCGAGAGCGGCGGAGAGAGCGACAGGCGATGGCGAGAGCGGCGGCGACGGCGGCGCGCGGCAGTGGCGAGGACGAGAGCGGCGCGAGCGAGGGCCGAGAGCGGCGAGATCGGCGACGAGATGGGCAGCGGCAGCAGGGGCGGCCGCGAGGGCGCGAGCGGCCCGCGGCGGCGGCGAGGGCGGCGCGCGGCAGAGACGAGAGCGGCGGCGGGAGGCCCACAGGGCGCCTCCCCGCACAGCGCACGCGAGCAAGCGCCGCGCAAGCGCTCGCCATGGGGGAAGCGGGTCCTGCGGGAAACGGGTCCTGAGGTTCTTCGCCGTCTGCGGGCTCTCGGTGCCCTCCGCGGGCCGCGGGACCGTCAGAGAATCATTCCCGATGGGAAGCGCTTCTTGGGGGAAGGCCCCCGGGGTCGGGGACCCGTTTCTCACAGGACCCGCTTCCCCCATGCTGCCAGCGCGCGGCGCCGCAGAGCAGGCGTGTGCCTCTTGGCGCCCGACGCCGGCCTGCTGGCCGAGGTGGAGGCCCAGGCGGCCCTGCGGCCTGTATCGGCGCGGCCGGCTCTGGCCGCCCACTGGCCGCCACCATCGCGGGCATGTCGTGTGCTGCAATCGCCGGCCAGCATCTGGCCGCCGCCATCGCCGGCCGTCGCCGTCGCGGTCGTCGCCGCCGCCCGTCGTCGTCACTGCCGGCCGTCGTCGTGCTCGTGGTGCTCGTGGCTGGCGCCGCCCGTCGTCCTAGTCGTCGTCGTCGTCGTCGTCGTCGTCGTCGTCGTCGTCGTCGTCGTCGTCGCCAGGGAGGGGGAGGAGGCGACATAGGGGGGAAGAAGGTCGGGGAGGGGCTGAGCGGGATGGGCGAAGACGAGTGCGATGGCGACGGGGACGCACAAGGAGAGGGCAGCGACGGCGGTGATATCGCCGCCGCCGCCGCCGTCGTCGTCCTTGGCGTCGTTGCGGTGGAGGGCGAGGATGAGGAGAACGACGACGGGAACAGGAGGAACATGAGAACGGCAATGTAAACCAGGCCGATGAGGAAACAGACGGAGACGATGGCGACAGAGACATCTTCGTCGTCGCCGCCGCTGCCATCGTCGGCGTCGTCGTCGCCCTCGTCGCCCTCCTCGTCGCCCTTCTCGTCGGCGTCGCCGTCGTTGTCGTCGATGTCGTCGTCGTCTTCGTCGTCAGCGAAGAGGATGACTGCGAGGAGGAGGAAGAGGAGTTGCAAGCAACTTGCCTTGCACGCGGTCCACGCAGTCTACGCTGTATCTAGGCCTGCGTCTGGGGTATCGCCTCGGCTAGATGAGGCGGCATATGTGGCTGTCTCCGATGCGTTCGTTTAAACATGTACTCGCCGCGCGCTTTTCGTCCCCACGTCAATAGCGATACTGTTCTGAGTCTTGTGCATTGCGCTTGACTTCTTGCCATCCTCTTAGAAGTGAAAGTGTGTTGTCGCGCACCTTAGTGATCTGATGTGCATCTTCTTATGATGTTTGTGACTATGTTTGTCCTCCCTGGTGGGGCGCGCCCCTTTTGGACTGTCCAGGTTTATCCCATGACGGCCCCAGAGGACCATTGGATGGCCCGAGCATGGATTGCCCTAATTACTTAGAGGGCCTTTATCGGGAGCCCAGGGGGGCAACCACGCCTTCAAAGCACATGTTCATGGATTGGCCTTGGAGGGCTCTTGCGGGCCTCTTGGGGGCTTTTGGATTCGCCGCAAACGGTGTTGGCCCTCCCTTGCGGCCGATGTTGTGAGGATATCCGGAGCGATAGTGCTGGTTTGGGAATCTTCCGGCGGAGCCGCCGAATTCGCCAGAAACAGTGTCAGCAGGTATCATTGGGCCCTCCCCCGGGTCTGATTCAGTGAGGATGTGCTGGTTTAGGAATCTTCGGGCGGAGTTGCCGGATTCGCGGGAAAGGTGCAGGAAGTGCCGTTGTTGGCCCTCATTTCTGCCGGCGCCAGGGATCCGGATAACGTGAGTTCTTCAGAAATTCTCCCAAATGAGGAAGAGTGAGGAGAAGTTAAGGATGATGACAAGGACGAGAGCGAGGAGGAATGAGACGATTGGGACGAAGCGTAGGCATAGGATGAGCATCAGGCAGCTGCTTTCGACTAGAACCTAGGCGCGCGCGAAGCGCGCGCGTGGTTCGGGTCTAGGGGCCGCCAGGTCGGAACCCCGACCGCAGATTGAAGACCAGGCCTCCTCGCCTCCTCGCCTACATTTCGGGAGCCCCAAATCGACGCCGAGAGCGCTCAGACAGCCGTCGAGACGATCCATGGCGGCCTCGAGTCGTTCGAAGACGGCCTCGAGACGTTTCAGACGGCTTACTTGGCGCCTCCACCGGCCTAAATTGCTTCCAAGACGCCCCGAGAGTGCTCCAAGAGGCTCTCGCAGACGGCTCCGGGAGGCCCAAATCATCCATGTAATCGCTTCGCTCATTCCGCCGGCCCATATTGTCGCATCTCTGCTGGTAATATTCCGAGTGTTCGCGTGGAGTGCGGAGCCACAGGGAGGTCGTCAAATTTTTGTTGAGGCGTGGCATTCGGCACGCTGTTTGCGGCCTCGGTCGGAGACCTTGTCTGGGACTGCTTGTTCATGCCGAGTTATTTTGCGACGTCCCAGGGTTCGTTGAGATGCCAATGATTTGGGCGTGCTTGTGGCGACCGAGACGGATTAGGATGAGGAAGCGGAGGATGATTAGAAGGAGGAGGCTTGTCGATTGTCGCTTGGGGAACTCATAAGACGAAATTGGGTCGTCGACAAGACGGGTCTCTGGAAGACGTCGTGGGGTGGTTTGGGAGGCCTCTTGGGAGCTCTTTGGGGCTTCTTGGGCTAGTATGTTGGGGCCTCTGGGAGCTTCTTGGGGCCCTGCTGGCGCTCTCGTGAGCGATCTCGCGGGAAAGGCTGGACATGGCAGCTCGGAGTACCGCTCTTGGGGTCTTTGGGAGCCTCTGGAGCCTTCCTGAGGAGCCTTTTGGGCTGTCTTTCAGCGCTCTGGGGCCGTCTTTGGCTCATCTTGGTGGCATGTTGGGCCGTCTTCGGGCGATTTTGAGGGCCTCCTGAGCAGTTCTGAACGTTGTGAAATCCTAAAAGTCGTCTTTCAGAAATGCAAGTTTTCCTAAATCATGAGACGATTTGTGTTTCTTGTGACCCTCTTGAAGAGTCTCTTGAGGCTCTCTCGGGGCTTCTTGGCCTCCTCTAGGGCAGTCTGGAGGCCGTCTCGGGCGTCTTGGAACGATCTTTCGGCGACTCGGGGCCTCTTGGACTGCTCGGGGGGCGTCTGGGGCGCCCTGGGGGACCTTGCGGGGACCTTACGAGGAGTTTGCCGGGAGTCTCCTGGGTTTCGGCCGGCGTACTTTTTTGTTCCAGGGGCCGCCATGCGCGCGCGCGAAGTTGAACTCGTCAACGTTTGGCCGGAGATCTTAGCACGCCCCTGGCCCGTGGGACCGGCGAACTTGTGGGTCCCTTGGGCCCCTTCAGAGGACCTGGGCAGGCCGAGTGCCCGCCCAGAGAGCCTCCGCGCCTCCGGCGTGGGCGCCCGCCCGCCCGCGCCGCGCTCGCGAGGTCGACCCTGCTCGGGACCTGGAGGCGCGGCGCTCCCGCCGGGCAGCGCCGCAGTGGAGGGTTGGGAGTCGGCGGCCAGCCCTGGGGGGGGGGGGAGGTGCGAGTCAGAGGAGGACAAGCGGAAGCTGGAACGTATGCACTACCAGTGGCGGGCTGCTTATCAGTCCCAGGATTTTTTGAGGGTCGGGGACGACGTCGGGGCGGTGTGGTGTATGCTTTTCGTCCCCGTTTCCCCAGGGAGACAACAACAACTGTATACACCAGGAGCCCGTATACACCAGGATCCGCTTTCCTTTTGCAAATTTCAGTGCAGGGCCGGACAAAGCGTCGGTGCATAGAGTTCGTTCCACTAGAAAAGGCACCCGCACCGCTACCGTTCTCTCCTCATTTTCCCCTTTTTAGGCCTCCAGTGGGAGGCCCTCGTGGTCGCACCGCTGGATTCGCCTCGAGGTTCTGGTCAGAAGGAGTCCAGGGAAAGAGAGATCCGGGGAGTAGAGGTATTGGTACCTGTCGGTTTCCCCAGAGAGGGGGCGGGCCTTCTCAGAGGGCTCGGAAGACCCCCCCTCCTTCTGAGCAGCTTCCCCGAAGACGCAAAAACACTTCCCAGAAGGCCGGAGGGCTTCTGAGAAGCCACGCCGCCTTCCGAGAAGGCCTTCTCCTCCTCACTCCCCCCCCTCGCTCGCCGCCGATGGAGGCCAGACGCCAGGAGAGCATTCGAGAAGGGATGCTCCCCTTGGGGGGCAAAGTCTACCTGCTTCTACACGGCCAATGTCTCGGGCCTATGCCAAACGCCGCCCTCGATTGTAGCCACCAGCGTCTGTAGACACACTGGGTATCGCTACGTAAGTATATAGACACACTCGGGATGGATACGTCTAAGACTATAGACAGCGCGGCCTTTGCGGTCGGCGCAGCACAAGGTCGGAGAAAGGGTAGATCCGTCTATGGTCTATGGTATGTTCCTGTTTTAGAGCAGGTGCCGCATGGTTTTCTAACGCTCTATGTACATAACCCCTCGTTCGGTAACAATTCATGTTGGCCTTGTATACCCTCGCAGGTCCATCTTTAGAGTAGACTGGCGTTGACTAGCGCCTGGTGGTCGATGATATGTGCCGATTTAGCGGTGATCAGCGTCGATTTATCGTGGATGTAGTGCCGACTTGCGTCGATCAGCGTCGATTCGCAAGAGGCAGCAAGATGGTATTGAAGGCTCCCGTGACTTGCTACCGAAGGTTTGGAGACCACACGCTTGGAGAGCTCTAGAAGGTACGCTCCCCAGATGCCCTGGCGACGTGAAACAAAAATGCGACGGTTGAGTTTGGGCTATTTTCGGCCCCCATTGGGCCCTCGCCAGGCCAGGAGGCAGTCGAAAACAACTCGGGACGGTCCTTGGGAAGGGGTCCAGGCATCTGCGGGTCTTCTGAGGGGCGACGCCGGGGGTCTGGGGATGCCAGATGCTGGGAGAAATTTAGAAGGTGCGCTCAGCAGGTGAATCTATGTTTTTAGAACGTTCGTTGGGCTCACAAGCGATAGTATGGCCTGCGAGTTGGCGCGAACGGTTACCCCTCGATCGCGCGGCGGAGTGGCGTCACCGAAATTGGAAAAGGCCGCTTGGAATGGCGAATTCCCCCCGCCCAAACTTTGAGCCGGGTGAACGCACCAATTCGCCCCCCCAAAGATGCAGCAGGGGGGTGGCATCGCTACGGCAGGTTGTTTCAGGTGGCAACTTCAGAGAGGTTGGATTTAGCCTCGGCCATGGCACATCCTTCCCGGCCTAGTCCGGCCTGATCCCGTATAATTTTCCTTACTATCCCGCTGAATCTGGCTGAATGTGGCTTGACACTTCGTTTACCTTAGTTTAATTGTTGGTTGAACCTGGATGCATGGGCCCCTATAGTCTGGCTTAATACTCCATAACCTTTCTGTCGGAGACCTCAGAGGGGTCGCCCCCTAAGGTAGATTCGCGCCGCGTTGACGCGGCGGCGGCCCCATCGTGGGCGCTCAAGGTTGAACTCCTCCTAGGTTGAACGATCCACGCGGTGTCAGAGACCAGCGCAGATCGACGCCATCGCCACGCGAACTTGCCGTGCATTTGCGATCCCTCTTCGAGGATCGAGTTTTCTGTTGGTCGTTCTTGTTCTCTCCTGGCCTCCGGAAGCATCCGGGGACTGTCTGTGGCATCTCTGAGGCCTTTACAACGATTGAGTATCCCTAAGAGTGTCATCGCCTTGGGTCTGCCACTCATAGAGTTTTGGAGTGACCCAGACCCCCGATGTCATGATTTGTTTTACAGTGTCGACTCCCTCAGGTCTCGACCCATTCTCCGGGACTATTTTTTCACCCTGATTCGTTTTTTGACGGTCGGCCCATGGAGATGCAGAACGCAGTTACAAAAACGTCTGTCTTGATTTGTTTAACGTCGCGAGGGGGGTTGGGGAGCTCGAGGCCGGCAAGGCTTCTGGAGGTAGCCCCTGGAAGTCCAGCAACACCATAGGTTAGGATGTCTTTCTTGGGATGTTAAATTCAGCATCGGCGCTGGTATATCCGTAGTCGACAACCAGCCTAATCGGGCCTAGTCCCAGCTAGTCCCGCTGAACTCCGCTTATCGGGGGCTAATCTGGCTTGATCGTGCTCAGTCACAGGCTCAATCCGGCCTCCTTCGTCGGGCTTGATAGGTTTTTGTCGTTGTGACGAAGATCTCCCAGGAGTTGCTTCATAACAGACGGAGGGACGGATCACCACAGGTCGCCTCCGCTGAGCGGGCCGGCCTTGGAGCAGGGTCAGGGGGCGCACCATTGCGCCCTCCCATCGGCCCACGGCTGCCTGCCTGTAGTTCCCCCGCTGCCCTCCTCTCAGATCTGGCCGTCGGACAACATGCGTCGGCGGATTTGTTGAGGGAAGCAGCGTGCTCCGCGTGTGGAGGCCGTGCCCTGGCCCCGGGGACCATCACCAGAACGACTCGGGAGGAAACGCGTGCCCCGGGGAGGAGGTCGAGATCCCTTGGGGCCTACCCACGTCGCGGAGCCAATGGGGGCCGTCGGAGGCAGAGGGGCCGAGCGGTGGGCTCCCAAGGGAGCCCCGCCGGGGGGTACGGCGAGACGTTCGCTGGGAGCTCAGAGCCGGTTCCCCGAAGCTCAGGAGGGGAAGGGGTACCCATGAGCTCTGCCCTTCGCCCGCTTTCCCCTTTTTGGGCCTCCTGGGAGGCCTTCGTCGCCACCGCTGGATTCGCCTCGAAATTCTGGTCAGAGCGCACCCCGGGAGAGGTCCGGGGAGTAGCGGTATCGGTGCCTTTGGGTTTCGCCAGAAGCGAGCCCCCTTCGTGCCCCCTCACCAGGCCCCCGACTCTGTATCGATCAACAGGCCCCTGTCCCCATCCCCATCCCCGTCCAGATCCCGACCAGGAACATACCCCCCTCGAAGCACGACGGGAACTGCCTGTTTCCCCTATCCAGGGGGCCCAGGCCACGCCCATGGGGATAGGGGTCGGTTAAAACGATGCTCACCGACGTCATTTCCAGTGCTCACCGACGTCATTTCCAGAGGTCTCGACCCCCAGAGGTCAGGAAATGGGTCGACCCCCAGATGTCTCGACCCATTTCCTGGGACGCGCTTTTCATGCCGTCGTGATTCTATCACGACGCGACGGGGTCTGAGTCGTTCTCTGCGTCCTGGGACGCGGCGCAGTCGTGACGACGAGAGGATGGGGCCTGCAGTAGCAAATCATGGGAGCCTTGTATGCCTTCGTGTTTCTGTCTTGAGAGGTCACTCCCGTCGATTAGCGTGTGAGAATCGATGAGATAGCGCCGATTTAGCGTCGACTGGCGTCGATCAGCGTGGATGTAGTGTCGACTAGCCTCGATTTGCGTCGTTTCGCGTCGATTCGCAAGAGGCAGCAAGATGCAACATGGTATTGGAGGCTCCCATGCGTTGCCACCGAGGCGGGCAGGCGGTCCCCTCGCCGAAGGGACCGCGCACGTGGTTCCGCCGGCGCCGCGAGGGCGACCCCACCTCCGCCTGGCATCGCTCGGACGCGTGTGCTGCTTCTGGACGAGGACCGTCGTGGAGCATCTTGGATCATCTTATGGAAAAGTAGTCGGAGGAAACGCAAGACTCAAGCTCGCCGGAACTTGGGTTTGCGGGCGCTTTTTGACGAGCCCGTCCTGGATTTTGAAGGTCCAGTTGCGGTGGGATGCTTGCAGCGGGAGGCCGCGTCAAACTTCAGACGGGGTCGCGACATTTCCCAGGCGGCCCGTCAGGCCAGCCCGAGTCCCCCGCACCCGGGTCCAGCGTCTCCCCGGAACAAGCGCACGAAGCCGGAAACAGTGCCGGGAATGGGCGTCCGAACGACGGTCGGGAGCCTGGAGACGGGGGTCAATGCAAACGGGGGTCAGCCAGGGCGCCAGATCCTGCAGGATCCTGCGAAGACCCCCTCTGGCTGACCCGGGTTAGCGAGCCGCTCATGGCCGCGAGGCGGCCGCGCCTATTGGCTGACCCGGGTCTGCGAAGACCTGCGTTGCAGTTTTTCTGTCCTGCATTGCAGTTTTTGGGTTCCTGCTGACCCGGGTCTGGATTGACCCGGGTCAGAAGATCCCCGAGACGGCGAGCCCCAGCGGCCTCGCCGCGGCGGGGCGGCCTCGCCGCCGAGGGGCGCCGCGCGCGCCCAGGTCCAGGGCACCCTGGTCGAGGACGTCTTCGGGGGCCGGTGGTACAAGTCCTGGACGCCCGAGGCACCGCCCCCCGTCGCCGCACCCCGAGTAGTCGAAGGCCAGACTGTCAGATTGGATTGGGCCCCAGGGGCCAGTCTGGCCTGGCCAAGCTGGACGATTTGGGGTGATTCGCCAGACTGGATTCGCGCCGGCTCCCTCGCCAGATTGCCCCCGTTTGCCAGATTGGGCCTGCCAGATTGGCACCAGATTGGCTTCGACTACCCAGTGAGGGGGCGGGCGGCCCATGGGCCCATGCCCAGACCCCTGCGCGTCGGAGGAACAGCACGGCGGGAGTTGTTTCCTTGGTTCTCGGGAAGGGGATCGGCTACAGGGTTGGTCCCCCCCCAGAATTGATCTGGTCGTCGGATCTGCAAAACACACGTAACATGTTACGCAGATTTGCGGATTATCCGACGTATAAACAAAAAACAATATGGGGGGGGCAAGTCGATGCTGTAGTCGATCCTCTACTCTACGCTTCGATAGGTTAGCCAGCGCGTGGACCACCGAACAGTATTGCATTTGGTCACATCGCTTGTGCATTCGCTCTCTCCCCTCCCGCTGCCTCTTCCCCTCAAGCCTTTCTGCCGTGAAGGTTTCATGGCCGCGTGGGTGCACGCAGCCGGCGGCTGGGTTCTCGGGGCGCTCTCCGAGCGCTGGACCGGGGCTGGCCGCGGCGGGGTCGCCGAGGTCTCCTGCCGCTGCGTGTTCGAGGGCTCGGACACCACCGACGGCCTCGTGGCCATCCTCCGGGAGCAGCTGGCGCGCTGCGGCCCGGAGCACCTGCAGGGGGCCGCGTGCCAGCCCTGCCCGCCGTGCCCGCTTCCGCTGGGGCACTACACGGGGCTCGACCTCTGCGGCGCCGCCGTGGTGGGCGTGGCCCTTGGCGCTGGGCTGGCGACAGCGGCCTGGCTGGCGGCTGGAGCGCCGGTTCGGCCGGCCGCGAGAGCGCGGGCCCTCGCCGTCGAGGACGACGCCGGCGGCACGCACGTCGCGACTCCGTCGGCTCTCGGGCGAGGCCGACGGGCTCCAGGCACCCGCAGTGACTAGGGGCCGCCATGGCCCGAGCGCTGGACACGCCGTTCAGCCAGTGCCTCGTCAGGTACGAGGACGACGCCAACTTTCAGTGGCACCACCGAGTCCTGCTGGTGAAGGGGGACGCCCAGAAGTGGATTTGGCTCACGCCGGACGGGGAGGTGGCCTTCGTGGACCTGGCCACCTTTCGGGTGCTGGCCCTTCGGAGGTCGGGACCGTTCCCGGCCCGGCATGCTGGGAACATCTACGCTTTCGACGACGTGGCGGCGGAGGATATGCAGGGCTACCTCGAGGAGGCCAGGGCCCTCGGCACGATCCTCGGCTTCGACCTCGCGGGCGTGGTGGGCCTCCCGGGCGACAAGTGGTACGTCAGCGACCCCACCTCGTCGCACTTCGGCGAGGAGGTGCCGCCCCAGGTGCTCGCCAACGAGGAGGTCCTGGTGCGGCGCGGCGACGTCGGGCTCGTGCGGCTCGACGACGTCTGGATCCACGCGATCAAGGTGGGCGAGGGTCAGAACTTCGACACCTACCTCGCGAGAGCTCGTGGCGGCGCTGGCCGGGACCCACGCGTCGTCGGCGACGAGAGGGACCAGGACGGTGGCAGGTACATCGACTTCCGCGACTCGGTCCGCCGCATGAAGGAGACGACGATCCCGGGCTGGCCTCTGCAGGGCCGCAGGGCCACGAGGGAGGCCGTGCTCTCCCTTCGCGACGGAGGGCAGGGCAACTGGGAAGAGCACCACACCACCTGGCTCCGACGCAGTGGGGTGGCCGAGCGTGGCAACGTGGCCCGCGAGCACCACATGATCTGCGCGTCGCTTCGGATGATGCAGCAGTTCGACCAGCTGGACCTGTTCAACATCGCGGGCGCCGAGTACCTCGTCAGGCGGCTCAAGCAGCTGGAGTCGGCCACCCGCAAGAACCCTCGGGCTCCCGACTTCGAGGGGCTCGACCTCATCCTCGACACGGGCGTCGACGACACGGGTGGCATGGTGCTGCCAGAGTTCGATGGATGGGTTGGCGATCAGGCGCGGGCCCGCGCCCAGACTATGAAGGCGAATCGGCAGTGGCAGGAGGAGAGGACGGCCGCGCAGCCCAAGGCGCCCCCGAAGGGGCCCAGAGGCGGCGGGGCCGACGCTGGCAAGTAGCAGGGGGCCGGCCGGCCCCCTCCTGGGGCTGGGCGTCCTGCGGCGCCCCGCCCTGCCTGGCTGCCGCCGCGGGTTCCTCCGCCGCGGACGCCTCCACGCCCTCCTCATGGCATCGGGATCTCGCTCCTCGCACGGGGACCCGCTGCCGCTTTCGGTCCCGGGGCCTGGCCCGCCGGTCGACCTCAGCGGGGCGCCGCGGTACCTGCGCCAGCGGGTGCTTCAGCAACGCTCTCGTGAACACCGTGTTCGAGAGGCAGTTCACTCGATCAACTGTCTCGCCGCCTGCGCGGTGCGCCATCGTGGCCGCGGGCCAGGTGGCGCTGCCGATTCAGGGACTTCGGGTTCGGCGACCTCGTCCTCGTGCGGCCGGCAGCTCGGCCGCTGCGTGGCGGAGTACGGCCCTCGCCCGGCAGACCTTCGCCCTCGCGGAGCCCTTCAGGAGCTCCTCAAGTCCGACTCGCTCTACGGTGGCGCGCCGTCCAAGGTGGTCCCGTACGAGGAGTCCAAGCTCAAGTTCTGGCAGTCCTCGGCCACGCCTCGAGACGTGGAGGAGGTCTGCCCCAAGTTCGTCGTCGACGCCTTCCGCGACCCCGACGCCTACATCCGCAAGCCGGACCGCGTGGTGGAGCAAGACCTCGAGCTCCTGCCGCCGGTCAAGCCGCACTGGGACGTGCGGCTCGCCAGCGACGCCCGCCTTCGCCGGGACTTCCTCCTCAGGCTCGCGGAGCGCGGGCTGGTGGGCTTCCGGCGGCGGATCAGGTCACGCGTGGGGTGCTTCTTCGTCGAGAAGAAGGGCGGCTGGATCCGCCTGGTCGTCGACGCTCGCGACACCAACCGCACCCACTGGGCGCCCCCGCACGCCGCCCTCGGGACCCCGGCCGCCCTCAGCGAGCAGGACTGGTCCGATGCTGCGCTCTCGGACGCCGGTCGAGATAGTGCCGACGGCTCGCCTGCCCAGATCTTCGGGTCGCCCCTCGACCTCCAGGACTCGTTCTACCAGTTCTTCTCGGAGCGCGTCGCGGAGGATTTCGGGATGGATTTTCCAGAGCGGGCGTCCTACTACCAGGTCTCCCACATCTGGACGCCCGACGGCCTGTCCCCTGTCGACCCCGACGAGCTCGTCTTCCCGGTCTTCCGCGGGGTGCCGATGGGGTGGTCCTGGGCACTCTGGGCCGTGCACTCGTCCGTCACGTCCTGGGCCTCGGACACGCTGCCGGGTGGTGCCCGCCGCCTGCTGCTTGACAAGCAGCCGGCTCCCGTCGCGGCGCCCTTCCGCCCCACCGGGTCGGTCTACGTGGACAACGTCTCGTTCCTGGGCCTCTCGAGCGACGACGTCGGGCACGCGCTGCAGGCCGCGAAGGACAAGCTCGACTCGCTCGGCATCGCGTACCACGAGGTCGAGGGTCCGGCCACGCACTTCACCACCGTCGGCGTCGAGTACGACGGGAAGCGGAGGCGGCTGCGGCATTCAGATCACCGAGCCTGGCGCCTCTATTTGGCCTGTCAGGAGCTCGAGCGCCCTGGGGTTCCACGCGCGGCTTGGCAGATCCGCGTGTTCCTCGGGCACTGTGTGCAGCACTGCCTGCTGTTGCGGCCGGCCCTCTCGATCTTCCGCCTGCTCTACCGCTTCGTGGACGCGCAGGGTCAGGGGCCTCCAGTCGCGCTGTCTGCTGGGGCCCGCCGGGAGATCCAGCTCTTCAGGGGGCTCATCTTCCAGGCCGTCGTCTTCCTGGACCGGCCGATGTCCTCCCTGGTCTTGTGCTCCGACTCGTCCGAGGCTGGCTACGCCCTCCATCGCCGACGTGCTGACGTTCGACTCCTTCGGCAGCTGGCTGCTACCCGGGAGAGGTGGAGGTTCGTCCCCAACGAGAAGCGCCCCGACGCGGCGCTCGACGACACCTTCTCCCCAGGCTGGGCGCCTGGTGCTGGTGGAGTGCTGGGCGAGCCGCCGGGCGCTACAGGCGTGGCCGTCTGGGCCCCCCCGCCGACGCGCTCGAGGGAGGGCGCCCGGGGCGTGCTCAAAGGCCGGCTCAGACCCACTGTGCGGCCTGCAGGCGTCTCCGTGCCCGACAGCCTCGTCGATCCCAGGGACTGGTCTCTCATCGTCGAGGGCGCCTGGCGCCGCAGCGCCCCCATCCACCTGCTGGAGGGCCGCATCGCCCTGGGCGGCTTGCGACACGCCGCCCGGCAGGTCGACTGCCACGGCTCCCGGGTGCTCAGCCTGGGCGACAACATGTCGGAGCTCCTCTCCGTCGAGAAGGGGCGAGCCGTGGACCACGGCCTCGCCTGTCTGTGCCGGCGGGCCGCCGCCTACCAGATCGCCTGCGGGATCTCTTGGCGGCGGCGGCACCTCGACACGGACCGCAACCTCAGTGACGCGGGCTCGAGGAAGGCGCTCCAGGGCGTCTACCGCCCAGGACAGCGGCGGGTTGGCGGCAGGTCGGCGTGGCCCGCCCCGCCCGCTGGGTGCCCGCAGTCGGCGCCCCCGGCGCCGGCCCCGCCGGCGCCCTCGGCGACCGCCAGCTGGCCAGTCGCCGAGGAGGCTTGCGAGCCTCCCCCCGCGGCGCGGCTGCGCGGCGGCCGACTGCAGACCCGCCCGCCGCGGCCGCCGCCGCGGGCATCTGGGGCCGCTGGCCGCTGCGGGCCGCGGCTCGCCCCCCGGCCACAAGAGGGGCCCGCAGCCGGCGCCCCTGGCCACCCTGCACGCGAGGCGACGATCGACGAGGCCGAGGGGGCCCGCGACCCGTCGCCGCCTGCGGCCTGCCCACGCGGCCGCCGCCCACGACCGCGGCCGGCGCCCCCGCCGCGGCCTGCTGGGGCCCTCGGACGAGTCGGACGGCGACTCGGGCCGGGGCCTCGGCTCCTCTCTTCCGAGCGGGCCCCGCCACGTCTGGGCCGCTCCGGGCCGCGCACGCGCGTCGGGAGCGCGCCGCGCGGGCCGCCTGCCTTCGGGGGCCTTCGCTTGCATGCCCGGCCTGGCCGAAAATGGACGACAGGGCTTCCCGGGCTGCCGCCCCCTCCGCCCCTGCCGTTCGTCGCGGTCGAGCCGGTTCGTGTTCCTGTACCTCGGCTTCGTGGACGTCGGGCGGCTCTCGAGATCTTCTCGGGGGGGGCTCGCTGGACGGGGGCTCTCGCGCAGCTCGGTCTGGCGGTCGCGGCTCCGATCGACATCAAGTTCGGTGGCTGGGGCGACCTGCTTCGGCCCGGCATCGAGTCCGTCGTTCGCCAGTGGATTGTCTCTCGCAAGGTCTGTTTCGTGCACTTCGGGACTCCGTGCACTCCGTGGTCAGTTGCTCGTCGTGGGGCCAATGATACGTCTGCTATACGTGCCGGTCGGCGGTGTGCTCATGTCACTCTTCGTCTACTTCGTTTGTGCGTTCAGTTCGGCGTCAGGTGGTCCCTCGAGAACCCCCGAGGTTCCCGGCTCTTCTCTTGGGAGCCTCTCCAGAAGTTCCTGTCCGAGCATAGCAAGGTCTCCGTGGTGTATGACTGCTGTCGGTTTGGAGCCCCGTACCAGAAGCCCACCAGGATTGAGTCTGACCTCCCCGAGCTCGGTACCCTTGAAAGGCGTTGTCTTGGAGGTCATGCCCACGAGCATCTTCAGGGGAAGGTCAAGGTCCCTGATCGCCAGGGTCGGCTCAAGCAGTTCTGGCGCACGACCCTGGCCGGCGCCTACCCTCCTGGTGCCTGCCACAGCGCCGCTCGGGCCCTGGCGCGCGCGGCGCCCGCGGCAGCTTGGCGACAAGATGGGGATCCACTGCTGCCCGGTCACTGGGAGACTCAGCTCCGCCGTGCAGCCAAGATGGACGACTTCCAGCCGTCCCTCGAGTGCCCCAGCTGCCCGCGGAAGTGGGTCGCCCTCTGGCTCCCCGACGCCGAGGGCTGGGGCCGCTTCGTCGGCCTCCCGCGGCCGCGGGCAAGGCCGAAGCCTCGGCAGAGGCCGGGCGTCGGCTGCCCGGGCCCGCCAGGTGCCTGCTGACTCCTCGCCGGGCTTCCTGCGGCGCTCGCAGGTGCGGCCGGCCACTCAGGCCCGCTACCTCGCCAGCGTCGTCATGTTCGCCACGGCCATGGGCGTTGTCGCCGACCGCTGGGTAAGCAAAGATCTTCCCCTGGTGGACACGCTCCTCGAGGAGTACTTCGACAGCTCTACGTCGACGCCGGCAGCAAGAGCACGGCCCGCTACACCTTGGCCGCCCTGGCCTACCGCTTCAGCGTGTCGCTTCGTGCCCCGGACGTCTTCCCAAAGGCGAAGGGCGCCCTCTCCGGCTGGGGCAAGCTCGAGCCGGACGTCACCTCGGAGCCGCTCTGCTGGGCGGCAGCGTGCTTGATGGCCCTGTACCTGGCTGGTCTCAACACAGAGATTGCCCTGCAGGCCGCCCGCGGCCTGGTCGTACAGTTCGACGCGTACCTGCGTCCAGGCGAGCTGCTGGACCTTCGCGTGCCTTGCTGCATCCTGCCGCAGCCAAGTGCCGGCTCAGGCTACAACAAGATGGGGCTCGTCGTCGGTGCCTCCGCGCTCGTCATGGGCGACGACGTGCACACTCGCGTCACCAAGACTGGCCTCCAGGACGACACCGTGCTCATCGATGGCCAGTCGCGTACTGGCGTGGCCGGCGCCCTCATGGCCCTCGTCAAGAGCGCCAACCGTGCCCGGCAGGGGCGCCTCATGTTCCTCCACTCCTACGCGTCGTACAACCGCTTGCTCAAGAAGGCTGCCGTCGCTGTCGGCCTCCCGACCAAGGTGACTGCGCACCTCCCCCGGCACGGCGGTCCGTCGGAGGACTACCTGAGAGGCGCCCGCTCGCTGGCCGACATTCAGACGCGCGGCAGGTGGGCGAGCTTCCGTTCGGTCCAGCGCTATCAAAAGAGCGGCCGTGCACTTGCTTCTTTCAGCCGCCTCTCGGCCGCAGTAAAAGTGGAGGCCATGCAGTTATCATTCCTCGCCTGAATTGCCTCCCAGCGTTCAGCCTTCTGCAAAGTTCCTTCGGCATGCCAATGGAGTTGGTATGGGATAATACTCCAGCGTTCGATATGGGTTTGATTTCAGGTCTGGCCAGACTGTCAGATTTCTTGAGCTCCTCGGCCGTGTGGGCCAGCGGGCTCTCGTTGTTTCAGCTCTGCCGTCAGCCGCCATCGCAAGTGTACTCAGGTGTGGGCCTGAGCTCTCGGCGTTGCAAAAAGAAATGAAAGTCCTCGTCACGCCTGCTGTCTTTTTCCGTTAGGCTGACGCCGTTCCGAGTCTCTTGGGACCCACGCCCTGGGAGGGGTGTCCGTTCAGATTGCATTGCATTTGGTCACATCGCTTGTGCATTCGCTCTCTCCCCTCCCGCTGCCTCTTCCCCTCAAGCCTTTCTGCCGTCCCGCCCTTCCCACCCTGGGAAACGCTGGAGTGGAAGGCAAAGTAGCTTGGACTTCTGCGAATTCGGGTTTGATTTCAGGTCTGGCCAGACTGTCAGATTTCTTGAGCTCCTCGGCCGTGTGGGCCAGCGGGCTCTCGTTGTTATTTACACGTGTACAAGATTTGTGTTGTGAGTTATGTGTTGCCAGGTGTGCCGTGTAAGCAATGTGGTGTAAGGTATGGTGTGTCAGCTATGTGGCGTGAGGTATTCGATGCGAGTTTCGTTGTGTAACTTCTGTGGTGTAGGCTGTGCGCTATTTGCGGTGAGCTGAGCTAGGCGGTGCAAGGTACGTGATGGGAGCTAGGTGGGGGAAGCTACAGTCGGGGCCCTGAAGAGGGAACCCTTTTTGTTGGGGAGGGGCTCCGTGCTCCTCAGTTGCTTTACAGTGCTCCTTGGGTTTTCCGAAGGTTTTCCATGGAACATCGGAGTCCAACTTATGGGGAAAAGGGGCCTCGTTCCTTATTTATCGTTCCTTAGGCCAACTCCTCGACTGTATGTGGTGCAAGCTGTGTCGTGTGAGCCGTTGGGTGAGCTGCTTCCGTGTGCGCTGTACGCTGCAAGCTCGGTGGTTCAAGCTCGGTGGTGCGAGCTGTGCGGTGCGAGCCGTGCACTTCGAGCGCACGGGGCGCCCGCGGCTCGCCCTCGAGCGGGCGCGGACGCCAACGCGGCGGAGCGCTGGGCATCCCGCCCCGCGCACGGTCCGCCGACGCGGCGCCCGCGAGCGGCCACGGAGGCCAATTTGCCGAGTCTTCGGGCAGCCCACCGAGTGGGCCCTGGAAACGACAGGGCCGTTTTTTTACCGGTTCCGTTTTGCAGTTTTTTCGCCGGCTCCGACGCCGTTTGTTTACCGGTTCCGTCGCCGTTTTTTGACCGGTTCCGGCTCCGGTTCCAATCCTGGAGCCGTTGTTTTGCCGTTTCCGGTCGCCGTTTTTTTGCCGTTTCCATTTTCAAGGGGCATTTTTGGGGAAACGGTGAAAAAACGGCCCTGCCGTTTCCGGGGCCCACAAAGCCCAGCGCACGCGGCGCCCTCGAGCGGGCACGGGCTTCAACGCGGCGAAGACCTGGGACACCCAGGAAGATCCCCTGAGCGCAGGCACTGTGTTGGGGAAGCACGAGTCCATACCATGCGGCGTGAGTTCTGTCGCGGCGCGAGGGGGTCTGAGATTGGTCCTTCTGGGCCCACTCCCGTGGGCCCTCCCTCCCCCTCCCCCCCCCCCCCGTTGGCGACCCTGCACGGGCATGGGCTAATACGCCGAGGCCGCGGCGTGGTTAGCGCTCCGCATTGGTGCGTTTTGCGTTTCCCTGCAAGGGAGGAAAAACCACCTGGACTGGACAATTGGCATTTACTAAACGGCCTTGGGCGTTTACTAAACAGCCCTGCCCTGTTTGAGATCTTCTATGGGCGCGTTTGCTAAACGACTTTTCGTGTCGGGGCGGTTATTATGGGGGGGATGTTTTGCCCCCTAGTCTTGATGTTCGTTTCACTTCTTTCTCTTCCTGGACCTGGGTTTTCGGACCCCGGCCGATTTCTGATTCCTGATCCCCCCCCCTATGGCTCTCTTTCCGCCTCCCCTCCGCGAGGCGCGCGGGGACCCCGTGGAGAAGCGGCGACGCCGAAAGCCCAGGACCTTACATAGTTGCCTCGATACGCCCGTTTTGAAACGCAACACGTCCCGTGTTCAAGACGTCCGTGTCAATACGTTGCGTGTTGGCTCCAAGTATTGGCCCACGTTTTGGCGAACGTATCGCGTCGGACCTACGTTTTCAGTCCACGTGTTGAGCTCCGCATCGATACGCTACGTGTCGCGTGCTGCGCATCGGGGCAGCGAAGCCCAGGACTCATCCCGGCGGGGAGGGATGGCCAGCGGGTGTTTCGTGCAGCCCCCGCAGGATCACCGACCCGTCCGTCCTTCCTCCGCCTCTCTCTGCCTCGCTTGTCCGCGGCTCTCCGCTCCGTGGCGTGCATGCTACCGCGCTGATTAGGTTCGTGCGCTTGTAAGTCAAGGGAGAAAAAACACCTGGACCGGACAATTGGCGTTTACTAAACGGCCCTGGGCGTTTATTAAACAGCCCTGCCCTGTTTGATTCTTTCAATGGGCGTGTTTGCTAAACGGCCTCGCTGGTCGGGGGTGGATGTTTTGCCCCTATTAAGGTTGGGCGAGGGTGCCGTTGGGCCTACTGCTGGGGGGCGAGGGGGTGGGGAGCTCGAGGAGGAAGGAACGTCAGATACATGTTTTTGCTGGAGGTCCGCAAGGATGTCTTGGATCGGCGCTGGGCCCCCGAGGGGTGCGCCAATCTGCCTGGGCGGCGGTGCTCGTCTTCCCAGATCATTGGATACCCGTTTTTTTCCGGTCGCAATCGGTAGCGACCGACTCAATAATCGGTTGCGACCAGTCGGCCTTGACCGATTTTGAAGCGGACCAGGCGCGACCGATACCAGATTTGAAAACAGAATCGTCAGCGACCGATCCCGTCGGTCAGGACTGGAAAGTTGCAGTATCCCATGATCAGCGGGCGGCGACGACGACCCAACTCTCCGACTATGTTGTTTCACTCTGAGATCGTCTTCTCGATTTCGGCCTCCGTGGAGTCTGGGCCCCGGGGCCACCAGACGGGAGTGCACCAACGACTGCCCCCCAGGAAAGTGCGCTCTCGTGGACCGCGACAGAAGAAAGCTGGCATCCATGTGGTCTTGGCCGGGTGAGGCGCAGTCTCAGCTGGCGCGCCCGCGCGCGGCGGCAGCTCGCGGCCCGCCCTCCCCCCGCGCGCCCGCCCGGGCGCGCAGAGGAGGACGCGCTGACCCGGGCGCTGGCCAGGCGCGGGGCGTGCTGGAGCCGACCGGCCGCGATCCCCACCGCGAGGGAGGTGGTGAGAATCGGAGGAGGGGGACGAGGAGGGGGAGGAGTCGAGGAGGAGGAGGGGGAGGAGGAGGAGGAGGAGGAGGAGGAGGAGGAGGAGGAGGAGGAGGAGGAGGATGAGGAGGGGGAGGAGGAGGAGGAGGAGGAGGAGGAGGAGTAGGGGGGAGGAGGAGGAGGAGGAGGAGGGGGGGGGGGGATAGCACGTTCCACGTTCCACGCCGATGCGAGCGCTCGTCCGTTCGGGCGCTGGCCGCGAGCACCGAGAGGCAAGCCTCTCAACAGAAAGGAAAAGGCGGGTGCTCAGTGCAGCACCGCCCGCAAGGAAGAAACGAGCCCCAGATAGGGGCTCGTTGTACCATCCAGCCAGAGGCAGAGTAGAACCCTCCGCGCCGTGCGCGGGGCCGGGGAGCAACTGTGCGAGGGTCACTAACGGCGCACCGCCGGGCAGTCCCCACTCGCACCGCGCCCCCCGCTGGGTAGACAAGACAAACCCACGAACCCCAGATAGGGGCAAGCAAGCTGTGGGCTAACCACCAGGGTCAGCCCACCCTTGCTCGCCCCTATCGGGGCTCGCGCCCTGCACAGACACGGTCCAGGAACCACCGCTGGTCCTTGGACATGCGTCCCGCACAGGTCTTGAGCAGGGCGCGCCAGCTCGGCGCCTCAATCAGCGCGTGGGCCCCACAACGTTGACAGATCAGGTAGCGGCCAACAGCCGCAACCTGGTGCTGCAAGAAGTGGAAGACCGACGGCGGGGCGACAGCTTCACCCTGCTCTCCCTCGAAGCCGAGGGCCTGCCACGCTCGACGCACCGCCTCGCCTCGCGCCCTAGGGAGGACGCCCCCGAGGCGGTGGTGACGGACAGCAGCTAAAAACAAGTGCAGGTCAGTCGGCCTGCAGACCGCGCTAGGCTGCTCAAGCCTGGCTCGGCCTCCTGCCGACTTCGCGATACTGTGGCACCATGTGCACCGCACACCTCCCGACGGAATCGTTTCGAGGTCGTGGGCCATCAGGGCCAAAGGAGGGGCCGTGGAGTTTCTCGGCCTGGCAGGCGGCCTCGGTTCGGGGACCGAAGACGCGGCCACGAATTGGGCCGCCCGCGAAATAAAATCAAGATTCAGCTTGGCCTCGCTGAGGCCGACTCTGACTGCTTCGACTGCACTCTCGGCCGCTCGGATCTGAGCCGCACCCATCTTCGCGAAAAAGTCTGCCCACCCGTTCCCAAGGAGATCGGACTCACGCGAAACACCAGCCTCAGCAAACGACCACTCGCCCTCCAAAATCTCGTCCAGATCTCCATGGGCGGGGGTCCAACGGAAGGAAGGTCGTTCCTTCGATCCTACGATTTTAAAAATTTTCCTCCAGATTGACGCGTGCTTGAACGCTCCCGTCGCCAGGGCTGGATCCCAGCTGTTGCCCTCGATCACTGCCGAGCGGTGGTCCGAGACCAGCTCAGCTCCAGGGGGGACCACCTTCAAAGCTTCCAAGAGGGCTTGCCGTTCGGCTCGTGGCACCGTCTGGCACCGTCCCGCGAGGCCTCCATACAGGGCCCTGATCGGCCAACCTCGGGCCGACATCTCGACCACGGCCCAGCCGCAGCGGGCCATCTCGGGGACTCCGTTGGCGTGGCCCGAGCCGTCGGTGTAAACACGTTTTCCCCAAGGAAGGTGGGTGGCCCCCCAGGAAAAAACAGGCAGCACGCTCGGGACCGGCTCCAAAAACACAGGCTGAAACGGCAAACCGTAAACCAACTCAACCGAATCAAAGTCGGGGGGGATTCCTCGCGCCGAGTCCTTGAGCAGCTGCCGTCGCTTGAAACTTTCCTCTGGCAATGCGGGCCCTGCCTCTGGGGCGTCACCCTGGCGCCAGAGCTCTTCACATTCATACCAGTGATGGCCGAACGTGCCTATCTGCTGCTTGCAAAACTGACAGAGGTTCGAATCAGCTAGACCATGACTAAACTTCCGAGCTGGCGGCCAGAGCCCCCCTGCTAGCAAGGCCTTCAAGGTCGCGCGCCTCTTAGGTTCCCTCACGGAGTTGACCGCGACCCGCAGCGCACGACCCCAAACAATCTCCTCGCCAGAAGCTTCGGGGATGGCCGACACCAGCTGAATCATCTGTGCCCTATTGATACCCTCAATGAGCTGGCGTTTTAAATCCCAAGGCGAAACGTGGCAAAGCGACAAAACATCTCCCTGGTCGGTCCGAATATGGGTCGGTCCCACTAGGGCCCATCCCACACGCAAAAGGCTCAAAAAGACGGCTCCCACGGGCCCTCGAACGTCCCTCCAGAGCGGTCTGTTGGCTAGCCGTGAGGCCGCCGCATTCCACGCATGCCAAAGATCTACATCACTAGCACGACGGTCCCAGACCCAACAGCAGTAACGAAAAACAAGAGGCACAGTGGCATCGACTAGTGGGTCATAGTTCTCGTCACGGTGCGTACTGAGAAACGCCGTGACGTGCATGCGGCCTCTAGCTCCTGCAAGCTCGGCCGCCACTGCACGCAGGCTTCTGAGAACCTGATCCGAGACCCCAGAGACCGCCGCACCGTGGGCCCCACAGGGCATGAGCCCAGTCCGCCAGAGCATGGCCACCTTAGGCCCCGCGGCTTTTTTCAGGACCCGAAGTTTGGCCCTACGCCCCTGGAGCTTGGCGACTCTGGCTTTTTCCACTTTGCGAATTACACGCCTACCGTACAAATCATGGCCCAAGTTGCGAAGATGCGCCTTGCTGTGAAACCCTATCATGCGAGCCGACAAACGAACCTCTTTTTCTGCCGCTGTCGTGCTCGCGAGGAACCCAGACTTGTTTGGCTGAAGAAGGAGACCAATCGGGGCTAGGAGGTGGCACAGCTCCCGCGTAGCAGCAAAGACTAACTCTCCTCCTTTGGCGGTCTCACCACACCATTGAAGGGATATATCATCCATGAGGGCCCTCGGCTTAATAGACGGATACCTAGCGACAATCTTTTTGACAGGGTCCAGCAGCACTGCAAGCATGTTGGCACAGGCGTGCGCACAGCCTGCCAAAATGCCTTGAAAAGAAACGTAACTCTCGCTCAAACTCCCGTATGCGTCAATCCTACGGGGTGCCACATAGCTTTGAATCAGCATCCAACCTAATCGAAGGGGGAATCCCACCCTCCGATACACGTCAAAGAGAGCCGAAAGCTTGATCATTTCATAGCACTTGGCCATGTCTAGGAGCACGCTGATCCAGTGCAGGCCCTTTGCTTTGGCAACTTCGGCGGAAAGGTTCAAATCGAAGGCAGAATCGCTCGCGCTCCTCCCCTTCCCGCTACCCCAAAACTCCTCCGTCCTATTGGCACGCTCCCAGGCCTCGCTGATAGGCCTGCGGGCTCGCGCCCACACTCTGATGAAAGAGTCTAGGAGCGCAATTAAACGATGCCCCCCGTCTGGCTTGGCGAGCCGGAAGAGCCTGCTCACAATTCTGTCTTTTGGCCAGCAGAGACGACGCTCGCATTGATGCAGCAGAGATGCAAAGGCCTCAAGGGCCTTGAAAGGTACTGAAGCGAGCGAGGATGTATTTTACAACACCCCACGGCCGTGGTCACAGGGAACTTCAAAATGACAGCTCTCAAGTCAGCCACCGAAAGTTCAGGGAGCTCTTCCCAAGACTCGGCGTCCCCAGGGATCTCAGGTCTGGTGCACCCGTGAGTGGCCCAAATAAGCCCCCAGTCCGAAACCACCTCATCCGAAAGCTCAAAGGGCTGGGCTCTCTGGGTGGCTCCAATGACCTCCTGGACAGCACGAGCTCTAGCGTACCTGTGGGCCTGGCGGGCTCCTCCTGAGAAACTTTCTCGCACCCATCGTTGCCAGTCCTCTGACTTGCTGGCGAGGTGGGCCGACTCCTGGAGCGACGCTCGCTCCAGGATGCGGTCACATAAATCCTGAAAGAAAGGGTCGGCTAGGGCCGACAGCCCAGCCTTAAAAAGGGCACTACTGTGGTGGTCCAGCTCCTTGTGCACCCACTCCACCTTGGCGATACGGTCGCAGAACCTGTCGGCATCCACCAGCACCTTGGCTATACGTCGGAAACGCCTTGCCTGGTCGCCGTCATCCACCTCTAGCCTCGGCGCGAACGTGTGCAGGGCCTGGCTGACCGATCGCAGGTGGCGGGCCCACCTGGCCGCCGTGGCCCACGCAGCCTGCACAGGCTGCAGCTGGACCGCACGCTTCTTCGGCACGAAACTGAGCTCCTTCCAGATCACCTCGTGCTTGCCAGCGTAACCCTCGTAGAAAGAGCGTTGTGGCCCTACAATATCATGTCGGTCCAGCAGCTCACGCTCAACTTTCGTAAGAAACTCATCCCATCTGACACTGAGGTCCTCTTCATCTCGGGCTTGGGCTACCTGCTGTCGAAAACGCGCCCATCTCCTGGGGAACCGCGCGCATCCTGTCTTGGCAACCACTGGCATCCTCTTGGGCTGGCGCGCGACTCTGCACCACAGCTTGACATCAGCCCCTCGAATGCCGACCGAAACCGGTTTGTGGGGAGCGAGACACACATCCTCGAGCACAACGGCTGGGGTGGTTCTGATCGCTAAGTTCGCACTTATCACGAAGAAATCAATCGTGGAGCCTGGCACTGCCTGCACACAAGTTGGATCCGCTGTCGCGGACACCACGCCCCCAATGCGGCGGCCCACGACATCAACTTGTCAGGCTCCATCTGAAAGTCACCCCCAACAACCCACTCGATCCCCATCTCGTTGAGACGGAAAAGATAGGCTGCCACATCCACCAGGATCGCGACATTCTTCTCCCCCATCTGGTCTTCAACGTGCAAATAGACGGACACCACAACAAAGCCGCCTCGGACGGCACTGTGAACATGGCCTGCCACTGCTCTACCTGGGACCAGCAGCCCGTCGTCACACCGTGGCGGCGCCGTGATCTGAACTCGCTTAGGACAAAGCACCGCCACCCCACCTGTCGTACCACCGTTGTCTGTGTCCAACGCCTTGGCCCAGACCCCGTGGTACCCTGCTGCCCCCAACCTCGATTGGTGGTCGGCCAGCTTGTCACTGAGATGGTGCTCCTGAATACAGAACACCGTCAACTCCTTGTCAAATGCCAGCGACGTGATGTCGGACTCCAGCATGCGGACCATTGGCCCGTGGCTCGTCGTGTTAGCGGTAACCACTCTAACCATCGCACAAAGAAAGAGAAACAGCCTGAGCACCGAGGGAATGACAAGCCTACGTCCTCGTTCTGGCTTTCTTGGCAAAGCTGTCAATCTGCTCTCCTGCCCGCTTGGCCGCTTCCCGAAGATCATCTTCGTCCTCGGGTACTTGAACATTGCAGGTCTCCAGGAACTCACGCAGCGTGTCAGCATCGGCCGCCGAGGGGTCTGGGATCCAGCTGGCGGCTGGGCTGGCTGCGGGCGCAGGCGCGCTCGCTGCCGCAGGCGAAGGGCGCTCCGCCTCAGCCTCCTCGGCCGCTGCTCGCGCAGCTGCGGCCTCCTGCTCCCTCTTCTCGCGGTGCACGCGCTCCGCCTCCCGCACCTCCTGGACCGCGTCGTACAGCTTCTGCGCCGACTGCGCGGACCCTCCGAACCCCTGCAGCATCTCACCCAGCTGGTCCACGGAGACGTCGTGGAGCCCGCCGATGACCTGCTGCAGCGACTGCGCCTGCCCTCGCTCAGGCTGCGGTGGCTGAGGGCAGGCAACGACCAGCTCGCGCCTCTGCTGCTCGATCTCGACCATCTCACTCTTGGTGGCGCTGAGCTCCTTGTTGGCCCGCTCCACCGCTTCCTGGGCGAGCCTGACCTTTTCCTCCAACTCTCGAATGTTCTCTTCCTGCTTCGCTGCTTTCTTACAAAGCCGCTGATGCGTGAAAGAGAGCTCTTTGAGGCGTGTGTCCAGAGGCTTGGCCGCAGAGACACGCTGCCGCAAGCGCGCCTGACGCTCGCGCATCTGCTGGCAAGCCTGCTGCACCTCCTTACATTGAACGTCCTTGATAGCGTCGATCTGCGAGTTGAGCTCCGCCAGCTGCTGCTTGAGATCGCCATCGGCCCCCCCCTCGTCCACCTCCATTGCATCCCGTGGGTCTGGAGGTGATGGCGGGGGCCCTCGAGCGAGCTGCGCACGAAGCTTCTCCAACTCTGCCTGGCATTGCTTGAGCTGCTGCTCGACCTTGCCGCTGCTGCCCGAAGCTGCACGCTGCTGCGCGTGCACTGCAGGGACTGTGGGCAAGGTACGAGGGCCACCGTAGCAGACTGACTTATGCAGGTTGCACTTGCTGCAATGAAGTCGATCGGCTCGGTTCCACCAGCTCTCTCCCTGATTGTTCCAGCACGACTTGCAGTTCCACGGCTGGGCCCAGGCTCGCCGCTGCTGACCGCGATTCGAGACCAAAGGCCCTCGTGCACCATCGGGAGACATCCGCGGGGCGTGCCCGCCGTGGTGTAGGTACGCAAAGCAGTGCGGGCTGATACCGCAGTACAGTGAAGGGAAATGTGCCGCCGCGGGGGGCGACCTGAGCTGTCGGGGGCCGTCGCTCCCCCACGCCAAGAGACTCTGTCCTGAGCGAAACGCTACGGACTTGAGCCAAAATGGCTACGGAGGGGGGGGGATAGCACATGACCCCAGCGGCGGCAGCGAGGGCGGCGGCACCCCGGGGCCCGGCGCTCCCGCCGCGCTGGCGCCACAGCCCGCGCGGCAGTGCATGGCGCCGCGACGGTCCAGCGCCAGGCCACCGCCCACTGAGAACCTCGGCAATACGCAAGAGTGACCCTGGGCAAAAGTGACTTTTTGTGCGCGGCTTTTTGGGGGCCGCGGGGGGACCAAACCTGGGCGCGCATGCAGCTGCCACTGCTTCGTTTTCAGCCATCTGGGGACTCGTCTATGCCCGCACCAAAGGTCACTCCTGCGAAAGGTCACTCTTACGTCCAGTCGAGAACCTGACGGTGAGGGGCTGGCCCCTGAGCGGGGGCACGCCTGAGCGTAAGACTGCACTGGAGTGACGCTCGGGCGTGCCACCGCCCAGGGGTCGGCCCCCCGCTGATGGGTTCTCGGAGGTGGCGGTCCGTGTTTATCCTCCGTGAGAGGGTTTCCCAGACATGCTCGCGACGCGATATCATCGGGATGGGCGGTCTTTTCCCGTTTTCGGCTTCCGGGGGCCCTCACAGGGCCCCGGGACCGCCCCAAAAACGACTCAGGATGAAAAACCGGTCCAGGGGAACGGGTCGAGATTTCGGGGGACCGCGCATCGAACAAAGCAGGACGTCGCATGTCTGGGTCCGGGCTGCGCCCAGACAGCCCCCCCCAGGAAGTCCCGGCTGGTCTCAACAGGCCCCCGAATGGTCCCTTGAGTAGTCCGGGGCGGCCTTGACACCCCAACCCGGGGCGCTCCGCGCCCCAGGGGAGCTGCCAGAGGCAGCGCCAGGGCGTTGAGACCGCCCCAGACTACTCGTGGGGCCTATTGAAGCCAGCTGGGACTACTTGGGGGTGCTGTCTGCGCGCAACTCGAAGCGTTACCAGTCTGTGGGCGTCATCCTCCTCGAGACAGGTTCTTCATCCCTAGCGATAGCGGGCGCAACTGGGGGGGGGGAGGGATGAGGCTGGTCACGTCACGATTCGCGCTGGCGCCCCGTCTGGGAATGCCTAGGGATGGCTACTGCCCAGGCGGCGCTGGCGCGACTCGTGACCTGACCAGGGGGCGGGAGGAGGGGGGAGGCGAGGCGGGGCCAGTCACGGGCGCTACCGCGAAACATGAAAAATTGGTTCCACCACTCAAGTATACGTGGTGTCTTCTCGTGAATCGCAAGAGTTTCCGCCCGTCTTGGATCGATTGCATATCGGCTCACAGCGCCCTCAATAGCGCCCAGTAGCGCCGAACAGCGTTCAAGTAGCGCCCAGCATCGTCTAACAGCGCCAAGCAGCGCCACGGGAGGGACATGCATGATGTCCTTTTTGCACGCTATTGGGCGCCACAGACACAACCAAAAGCCTCCATGAGATGTTTTCTAATTATTGTGAGCGTCGCCCCACCAGTATATGCTCGGTAGTGGCCGCGTTCTGTCCAGATCGCCTTGGCAATGATGTGCTATATGACGTTTGTGCTACATGCTCGGTTTGGACGTGCGCCTCCAAGCTGGGGGCATATCAATAGTATATCCTTCTGCGTCTCAGTCTCACTCCAGACCCTCTCGCGCTGAGAAAAGCAGACGACGGGAGGTTTTTGCTGCTTTTCGGCCTCTGGGGCCTTCACTGGTTTCAAGTCTGTCAACAAACGTTGCAGGATTAGAAGCCCGCCTGGGGGATTGGACCCAGACCTCTGAGGGGTCCATGCCATGACAAAAATTTAACCTTGGGGTCTGGGCCTCCCGAATATTGACCCATTGTGTTTCGGGCGGTCCCCACCAGGGAGCTGCTGCGAGTGGTTTTGAGGTCTACTGTGGGCGTCATCCTCCTCTCGAAGATTTGATTTCTCTTCGACGGTACGACCACGCTCGAACATCTCCCTGGTTCGCGTGAGAGAAAATTGTGGTTGATGTGGTTGTTGAGGCCCTTCGCCTACATACTCCTCCTCCTCCTTATCCTCCTCTTCCTCCTACTCCTCCTCCTCATCCTCCTCCTCCTCCTCCTCATCCTCCTCCTCCTCCTCCTCCTCCTTCTCCTCCCCCTCATCATCCCGAAACAGGCTTGCCTGTTTCGATTTGGCGCTGCCTGCCTGACCCGCTGGCAGCGGCCCCCGGCTCCAGGACGCACATCGGTTGCGCCTTCAATTTCGAGGTGAAGAGCGACAAGGATGGGGCCGGAGGAGGGGAAGGGCGTGGATCACGGGGGTGGTTGCCACAGGCGACCTTTGCCTCCCGAGGGCGGCAGGCAATAGCACCCCCCAGTCAGCTTGTCGACGGCCTCTCTGCCAGGAAGCAGCAAGCGCACGACGTCGCCAGTGAGGGCGAGTGTGGCCGCAGTCCTCTCCCCTCGAGGGTGACCTTGCAAATCTCGGGGCGCCGCAGGCCGGGCCCAGCGGCTGCCATCGGGCATGACACAGGCAGGGCGCGTCCAGCTGCTCGCATGTAGCTCCCCCATGCAGGACGCAACCAGGCGAACAATTCTAGCTACGTGTCTGAAAGCCTGGGCGCCACACGGGCAGTTATTGCACTGCGGATGTGCGAGCTACCCATGAGGTGCAAGCGATGTCGTGTAGTCCATGAGGTACGCGGTGCAGGCGAGGTGGTGTAATTGACATCGTATAAGTTATGACGTCTAGTATACGTGACACACGCTGTGCCGTGCAAGCTAATTTTGGTGCAAGCGATGTGGTGCAGAAGATGTGGTAACATCCATGTGATGCAGGCTGTGTGGCCGCCCAGCGCACGACGCGCCCACGAGGCGCCCACAGGCGGTCACCAGGCGAATTACCGGCGGACCAACCCAGCGCACGAGGCGCCCACGAGCGGGCACGAGGCGGAACCTCGGTGTGGACCCACCCTGCGCACGGGGCGCCCACGAGGCGCCCACGGGCGGGCACCGGGCGAAACCTCGGCTAACCTTAGGCCGGGCCTGTCCCTCTACAGGGGGAACACTCAAACACTGGCCAAAACATAGTCTGGGGATGATCTGCTGTTTCTCGTCGATCATTTATGGAGTATCCTGAAGGGTATTGATATAAATACCTATACGACCACCCTGCGGGTGATAAGGAGGTGAGGGGGGAGGGGGAACCAACGTCTCACTCAATCGATCTCGCTATCGATCTCACATTCGATCTCATTATCGATCTCGCTATCGATCTCGCTATCGATCTCACAATCGATCTCACAATCGATCTCACAATCGATCTCAGAATTGATCTCACATTCGGTCTCACATTCGGTCTCACTGTCGATCTCACTATCGATCTCACAATCGATCTCAGAATTGATCTCACATTCGGTCTCACATTCGGTCTCACTGTCGATCTCACTATCGATCTCACAATCGATCTTACTATCGGTCTCACAATCGATCTCACAGTCGATCTCACAATCGATCTCACAATCGATCTCACATTAGGTCTCACATTCGGTCTCACCGTCGATCTCACTATCGATCTCACAATCGATCTCACAGTCGATCTCACATTCGGTCTCACATGCGGTCTCACTATCGATCTCACCTCTCGATCTCGCTATCGATCTCACTATCGATCTCACAATCGATCTCACAATCGATCTCACAATCGATCTCACATTTGGTCTCACATTCGGTCTCACTGTCGATCTCACTAACGATCACACAATCGATCTCACAGTCGATCTCACATTCGGTCTCACATTCGGTCTCACTATCGATCTCACAATCCATCTCACATTCGGTCTCACTATCGATATCACAATCGATCTCACAATCGACGTCATCATCATCATCAACAACACCAACATCATCATCATCATCGCCATCATAACATCATAATCATCATCATCATCATCATCATCATCATCCCATCATCATCATCAATCATTCATCATCAAGGGGCCTGATCGGGCACTGCGGGACACCAACGGGACACCGCGGGACACCGGCGGGACACCGGGCGCCACCGGACGCCCGGTGGGGAATCCTTTGGATCCGGCCGCGCTCAGCCACAGAGGAAACCACCGGGACACCCGGCGGGACACCGCCGCGCCCACCGGCCGCCGGTGGAGAATCATTTGGTCCGGCCGCGCCTCAGCCACAGGAGACTTTCCTCTCGCCCGCCCACGCAGCTTCGCCTCGCCCGCACGCACGGCACGCACGAACACGAAACCGAAATCGATTTCCCGCTAGGGGGGCTCTCCGTTCCACTTCGATTTCACCCCCTCACCTCCGATTCGTCCAAGGTCGGCCTGCAGGGGGACAGGCCCGACTTAAGGCTAACCCATCCAATTCCCTTGGGACCAGCAGTAAGAGCCCTTCAGTGCAAGCGCTGTCTTGAGAATATGGTCAGCGTCGGGCCCCCCTGCCCCGGCGCGCGGAGCGCCCCAGGGGCGGCGCCGGAGGCGCCGAGGGGTGTTCCAGCACCGACCCAAGGCACACACGCTGACTTCAGACGTTCATGTTTTTGCAGTTGATCGCTCCTCTTACCAAGTCCCAGTGCAGTCGACATCCACAGCAGTGATGCAGTTCTTCATCAAGGCCACCCCTGCACCCTTGGCTCGTCGGCCGAGAGCCAAGGCAGCGTGTCGCATCCTGCTGGAGTCTGAACGTGCACGGGCCCTTCGTCCTTATTTTGCATCCCGCTGTGGGTTTGCCATGGGCAACGGCGGTGGTCGAATCGCCCATTCGCCCGTTCGCCGCACACGTGACCCTCGGGCGCGTCGAGGGCGAGCGGCGCGGCAGCAGGAGGAGGAGGAGGAGGAGCAGGAGGAGGAGGAGCAGGAGGAGGAGGAGGAGCAGGAGGAGGAGGAGCAGGAGGAGGAGGAGCAGGAGGAGGAGGAGGAGGAGCAGGAGGAGGCGGAGGAGGAGGCACGAGGGGGGCGACCGGGCCCTTGTCGAGTCGCCCATTGGCCCGTTCGCCAGTCGGGGCCCGAGCGCCCCACGTGCGGCTTCGCCATGGAGGGCCTGCCGCCGGCCCGCCGGCGGTGTGTCGCCCAGGGCTGGGCCCAAGCTCTGGACGCCCGAGATGGGCACGGAAAGAATGGGTACAATGCAGGCAGAGGGGGCCAGCCCTCCTCCTCCTCCTCCTCCTCCTCCTCCTCCTCCTCCTCATCTCCTCTCCTCCCTCCCTCTCTCCCTCCCCCTCCTCCTCCATCCTGTTCATTCTGAGCAGGGTCCGCTGTCCGCGCCGCCGCGGCCTGTGTTCATTTGAGACAGAAGGTCGCCTGCCCAACAGCGGCCGCTGTTGGCTCGGGGCAGCATTTGCTGTTGGGCATTGTGCCCATTGTTTCCGTGCCCATTTCGGGCGTCCAAATAATCGCTGGTCTGCTGGACTTCGACTGTGTCTTGTTCTCGATGTTTGGAGGGAGGTGCAGGAAAGCAGGTAGAGCAACACGAACAACAACACGAATCCAAAACGAAGAGCAACTTGTAGGTCCAGCCCTGGAATCGCTGATTCCGGGCGAATACCCCCCCCCTTCCCTGAGCCAGTCTCTCCTGCCGCTTCCTCTTGCTTCGAATGCGGTTCGGGGCGGCGCGCCCGAGAAGCGCTGTCGGATGCAAGGGTTTCGTGCCGATGCCACCAACATGTTGTGGAACTCAGCGCATTGGTCCACAGAGATCATCGACGCACCTCAAAACACATGTAGCTGACACGATTCGCCGAACCCCGAACGAGCCACTTGGAGCAGGCTGATCAAAGACCCCCAGCCTTTCTCAAGACCGAGAAACGTATCCGTATCCGTGGCCTCGCGGGCCGGGCCCTTCTTCCGCGATCCCGCGGGTACTGGGCGATTTTTTCGCGCCTCGGAATCCGGACCGCGAGGAACGTATCCATGCGACCACGTATTCGCGGGATCGCGCCCCGGAATCCAGACCGCGAGGTCGCGGCGCGGATGCGGATATGTTTGCCGCTCCTGTTGTCCGGGTCACGAGGGCTCTGTATTGGAGCGGCGGTCCTGGCCAACACGGGGTCACCGAGCCTCATTGGCGTGTGACCGCCGCAAGTTGGCAACGGTTGACTCTGCCTTCCGCACCCTGCGCACGGCTGATGCCGCGCAGCTGCGGCCGCCGCGGCGAGGCCTGTGCGGCCCGCCTCGCCGGCGCACAGACGCCTGCCGTCTCGCGAGGTCTCGACAGGTGGACGTCAAGTGGCCAGCCGTTCCCGTCACTCCAGGCCCCCCCCGGTGGGCTCCGAGCAGATGGGGTCGGAGGATCGCGCCGTGCCGCCGATGCATCGCCGATGCCTCGCCGAGGCATCGCCGATGCGGCTCGATGGGGAGCCCGATTTTCTCCACTCCGACGGCGCCGATGCAACGCCGACGTCGCCGATGCATCGCCGATGCGACGCGATCCTCCGACCCCATCTACTCGGATCTCATCTGCAGACTCGGAAGTATTTTTCCGAACGCCACACGAAGGCTCCAACAACGTCCGAACGACAAAGAAAGGCTTCTTGGCCCAACACCGTCCGCATCAGCGGGCGCGCGGTCCAAACGCCCTCTCTTATGCAATCCTAAACGGGCTTCAGCCTCTTGGGGGGCCCTGGGGTAATCCACTCCTTATCAATTAGCATTCGATCGAGGATAGTAAATGGAGCCTTGTTTGGGCGATTCTTTTCCAGGCCCTTGATCTGGCCTGGTTTAGCCTCGCGCCCCGCCTGAGACATCATCGAGATTGGCTGGGTGTGGCCCCTGGTGTGGGCCCGATTTCGCTCGAGACGTTCTCAGAATTTGCCTGGTTTGGGCCCGGTGTCGCTTGAGACGTCCTCAACATTCGCTTGGGTTCGCTTTGATTTGGCCTGGTTTGGGCCTATTTGGGTTTGGTTTCAGCCCAGTTTCGCTTGGGATTTCCTCGCACGTTGCCTGGCTTGGCCCAGGTTGGTTTGGCTTCGGCCCAGTTTCGCTTGAGACATCCTCAGAATTTGCATGTTTTCTTCTTCGTGTGGCATGATTTCGGCTCCGTGGTGATTCGAATCGGCGTACTGCCACCAAACAAATCGTCGAATGTCTAGACAATCGGATAACTTCTGTTGTGGTCGCCATGCGGTCTCAACACACAGTGGGATGTGTCACGTTTTCGCAGGCACTGAACATTTAATGATCACGTCGTGGTGGGCGTGTACAATTGAAGTAATCGCACGGTGTCATGAGTACCCATTGTGGTTCACATGTAGCACGATTGCG